ACTTCAATGTTTCTCTCTCTCTCCCCTTCCTCTCTCTCTAAAACATAAAACAATAAAAAAATATTAAAAAAAAATATATATATAACAAAATTTGAGGGTATTCAGAGGTACAAATAGTCGGGAGTCCTAAGAACTGTCCAGGTGCTGTGTTAATCGTGTTCCATATTATGGAGGTGTAGATGAGTCCCTCACGTCAGAGCGTTTGATTTTTACCCGAGTGTCCTGACTACAGCAGAGTTGAGGAGAAGTAGGGTCACATGGCACTTCCTGCGGTGAGGGGCTGCTGCCCTGCGCCAGGTGGCAGCAGGGAGTGGAGGCTGTGTGTCCTCAGATGCTGTCTGGTGCCCCCGGAAGGGAAATGTGTTCTCTTTAAAGGACTAATGACTGAAGTCATGGTTTATGGCTCAGATAACAGGAGGAAACATGATTGGTCCTAAACGCCGGGGCGGTCTCCAGATTGGAGGGATTCACCCAGATGCAGAGGGTGCCTGCTGCTCCTTTTGTTTACTTTGTATGTTTCTCCACTTCACCGCTCATCACATATGTCACTTTGGTAGCCTGCAGAAGGGGAACCCAGGTACTGGGGTCTGCAGCTCTTTCGTGGCCAGTGGCCCGTGGTGCCCTGACTCCCCATGTGCCCTGGCGGCTCACTCTCCCTTCATGCACTGCACTCCCACTCACCCTGGTCTTTGTTGTGGGAGAGGAGGGTGTTTACTTCACTAGGTTTTTGTCAGGCTTGTCTACAGTGTAACCACGTCACTAAATGCCCACCTACCTGGATAAGTCGTTCCGGTGTTCGTTCTTTTCTGCTCCCACGGGGAGCTCTGGGAACAGTTTTTACGTGTTTTGTTACCTTCGAGTCCTCTGTCGGGATGCCTTATCTTAGGTGTTCCGATCGCAGCGAACAGGTGGGGTGTGTTTAGCGCCTGTTTGATGGCATGTCTACAAGCCACCTGCTCCCTGCGAGTGTCAGATGCCTAGGAAAGACCTCAGGGGACCTCAGGTCAAGTACTGAGTTGCTGGGTGTGCATGGTTCTGCCTGTGCAGAGGGCAGAGGGGTCTGATGCATGATGTTTACTTGCAAACAAGTCCCAACAGCCGTGACTACCAGCCTTTGCTTTCCCAGCACAGCATGGGGTTGTGGCTGGCAGTGAGCTGAGAGTGGACCTTGCGGACACCTGGGACGCTCTGGGAGCTGCCCGCCTGAGCTGTGCAGCAAGGCCCTTCCGCATCGTCCGCCTCTGCCCCGTGACAAGAAACACAAGACCCAGGAGCCTGACTTTGTCCAAGGTCGTGTGGCCAGGCTGGCTTATCAGAGGGAGAACCTAATACTAGGTGCATCCCCTCCCTCCCTCTTTCCCAGGGCAGGAGGCCATCTTGGGTGCTGGGCAACCACATCAGGGCCTGGCCCAAGGGTCCTCTAGACAAGCTGGTCTAGACAGAGCCCTTTGCATCTTGCATTTACTCCAGAAACTGTTAGAAACTGCTCTGTGTCAGCCATCGGTCATTGTCACTAGAAAAGTAAAATCCGTATTCCCAAAGTGTGCTGGTGGTGCCTCACTGGTGTGGTGACTTGTAAGTGGGCACAGTGTTGGGGGACTTGTAAGTAGGATACAGATTGGGAGGTTCAGGAGGGGCTGGTGGCTCCCTTCCTTGCTCACCCTGAGTGTCCCTGCCAGTGGCTTCTGGGGTGGCATTGGCGCCTCTGGTTGAATGTATCGGGGTGCCAGAGGGGTCAGTACTCCTTATCACTTAGGGATTGTTGTCAGAGCGATACCACTGAGCACCTACTCAGGCCCCATGGTTCAGGATCTGGGAGCAAACTTGCACATTGAATTCAGGCTGAGCCCCATGAGCTCCTCTGTGACCTGGCTGCGGTGACCTGAGGACCGGGCGTCCGAGATGGCCACCTGTGGGCCGTGTCTTATGTTTCAGCGCCGTGACACTCATGGTGGGATCTGCTCTGAACAGGCAGGGGATCGTAGGTAAGGCCGCCACAACCCATGGGGATTCGGAGTGCCGTCAGACAAAACTAGCCGGCAACCACATCAGGGCCTGGCCCAAGGGTCCTCTAGACAAGCTGGTCTAGACAGAGCCCTTTGCATCTTGCATTTACTCCAGAAACTGTCAGAAACTGCTCTGTGTCAGCCATCGGTCATTGTCACTAGAAAAGTAAAATCCGTATTCCCAAAGTTTTCACAGTCCTAGAAGTTGCAGGCCGGTGGTTGGTGAAGTTACATTTCATAGAACTTTTGTTTTTGTTTTTTTTTATCCTCACCCGAGGACATTTTTGCATTCATCTTCAGACAGAGAGGGAGGAAGACAGAGAAACATCCACATGAGAGACACACATCAACTGATTGCCACCTACACAACCCCATCCAGGGCCGGGGACAAACTGCAACCGAGGTACTTGCCCTTAGCGGGAACCGATCCCGGGACTCTCTGGTCCACGGGCCGACGCTCCAACCACTGAGCCAAACTGGCCAGAACTACATTTCAGATATTTGTCCTCAGGAGTTTGGGTGAAGCATAGGGTCTGTGGGACCCAGAAGGTAATGGATTGAGACTTGGTTTCTGAACAGAAGGCTTTACTTGGAGTTTTTTTTACCTAAGCTCCCCTCCCAATAGGGAGCTTTAAAGAGTCACACAAAGAAGTTGTTGTCTGTGATCCCAGTCCCCCCAGTGAGCCCCACTTTGCCTCGAGCTGCCCCTTCCAGGCTGCAGTCCTATTGTGCGCGATGCTGTGCCACCTGTTTTTCATCTAGCACACCATGGGCATCACTCCTGGCAAACGCAGCCCATACCTTTTAAAATAAGCGCACAGTTTTATTACGTAGTGAACCATATTTAAAACCAAATGCCCTGCCCTGGCCAGTTTGGCTCAGCGGTTAGAGCGTCGGCCTGCGGTCCGGAGAGACCCGGGTTCGGTTCCCGCTAAGGGCATGTACCTCGGTTGCAGTTTGTCCCCGGCCCTGGTTGGTCGTGCGGGTGGCAGCCACTCGATGTGTCCCTTTCACATCAATGTTTCTCTCTCTCTCTCTCTCTCTGCCTCCTGCTCTATCTGAACAGAGAATGAAAAAGTGTCCTCGGGTGAGGATAAAAAAAAAAATAAAAAAAAAATACTAAAACCAAATGCCCTGCCCTGGCCGGTTTGACTCAGCGGTTGGAGCGTCGGCCTGCAGTCCAGAGAGACCCGGGTTCGGTTCCCGCTAAGGGCACGTACCTCGGTTGCAGTTTGTCCTCGGCCCTGGTTGGGTCGTATGGGTGACAGCCACTTGATGTGTCCCTTTCACGTCGATGTTTCTCTCTCTCTCTCTCTCCCTCCCATTTTATCTGAACAAAAAATGGAAAAAAGTCCTCGGGTGAGGATAATAAAAAAATAATAATAAAAATAAAACTGAAATCCCACTAATGGCCATTCGGTTGTTGAGCAGGTTTATTATAAAAAGAGCTATATGTCTGGTCTGAAAGTGTCCGGGTAGTCGTAGGGAGGGGCGCAGACGTGGCGTCTGCCAGAAGCCTGCTGTGGGTCCCCTCCCTTCCCGGCAGCTGCACCCCAGGACAGGCGTCTGCCTCCCGCCCGTCCTCTTGCCCGGGGTGCGCAGTGGGGTGAGGCCAGATGGGCCTTGTTTAGCTCTGGGCTCTTTCCTCTGAGCTTGACAGGTTTCATGTGTTGAGTTCTCCTTAAGCCGCCTGCTGTCCTTAGGGAAGCAGGTGAAGGGCGGTTGCCGTCCTGCCCTTGCTCGCTGGCCATGGGCCTGGGAGCTCTGCTTCCTCCAGGCTCTTGGCGGGGGGAAGGGGAGGTGTCCTGGCCTTCGTTGGGAGTGAGTGAGGGGGTCCAGGGCACTTTGCCTGCGGGCAGGGCACAGGCGATGTGGCCACGACTTGGACTTCCTTGATATCGTGATTAAGCCTGTTTGCCCCTCCCTACAGATGAGGTTTTCTGTATCCTGGCCCCTTGCTCTTTTTCTTCTTGTTGCCGAGTTGGGTTTTTGGCTTCACGGCAAGGAGGCCACCCCTGTGTGGGGGCATTTTCGTGTCAGCAGACTCTGGGTTTATCTTGCACCAGGATGCCTTCCCGCCAGCCTGTGCGCGCTCTGTCCTCTCAGCAGACTGGACTGAGGCTTCCTGGCCAGTGCCTGGGGCCTTAAGCCCCTGAGGTGCACCTCCTGCTGGGCACATGGACTGTCCCCTCATGGTCAGACTATTGTCTGGGTGATGAGGGGGGCATTCTGCAGGGGGTCCTGTAGCAGGGTCTGAGTCCCCAGGCATCCAGCTCATGTTTCACTGAGTGTCTGGGGGCAGTGTTCAATTTGGTGGTTGAAGTGCAGCCCGGGTCGGAGGTCCTGCCTGCTGTTGGGGGTGGTGCTGCAGGAGCCCCACCTATGCCCAGACCTGGCTTGGCTGCCCAGGATGGTGTGACTTCCCCATGTGGAGTCCAACGTGTGTGGGGAGGGACACAAGGATCCGATACACCAGCACTGCTCCCCCTCCTGAGTTTGGGTGGGCAGAGGTGGGACCTTCACTCCCCTCTTTGTGCGCCAAGGACGTTCTGTGGCTGCTGAGTGGGTCCATGGTGTGTCATGGTGTATTGGATGAGGGTCACCCGGGCTCTGGCCTGTCCCACGGCCATGGGGGACGATAACCCGATCCTGGCCTGGACGCATTCGGTGTGCAGCAGTCACTGTCCGTCCTAGCTTCTCGCTTCTTGGCCCCCAGAGCAGGGGGCTGGGACCTCGCAGGCCTTGCTGGTTTGGGGTCTCAAGCAGAGTGTGGTGTTGGCAGGTCACCTGCATGTCCATGTTCCCAGAGGAGAACTGGCCACACGTGGCTCTGGAACTCGGTGCCCTCAGTGCCCCTCTGTCTGCAGTGCACTGTGCTTGGCTCCGCTGTGGGTTCCCATCTGTCTTTGGAATCCACCCCAGCCTGCCATTCCCCTGGTTCCCTGTGCCTCCACCTCCTGTCAGCTTCTAAAACTGACCCGGACTGTTTCCCAGCAGGAGAGGGACACACAAGAGAGAGCAGCCCCATCATTAACAATGGCGACATGGAGAACGAGAGTTTCTTTGAAGGAAAGAACATGGCACTTTTTGAGGTAAGTTATTATACTCTCTCCTGTGAAGAGCAGGGGTCAGTGTAGTAGCTGTAATTTGGACAAGTGAAGAGGTCGTGGTCTCAAATGGACGGAGGGGCTGGGCCGCCTGACTGGGCCCTGTGGGGAGGGAGCTGGTGGCCACCCCTGTCTCGAAGATTTGGCATCATGTGCCCCCTTGGATGACACCTTTCCGTGAGAGGCTCCGAGGAGCTGAATCTGGACCGTCTTAGGAACCCTGGTCCCCCTCACTTCAGCATGTCTTGGAGCCTGAGCTCTAGCCCCTGACCCCTTACTTCAGACCTGCTGTGGTGGGCTGGCTGGCTGGCCCTTGGGCTCCAGACGGCCCTGGAAATAGGCTCTCTGGAACGTCCGCATGGCAGATCTGCTGGGGGTGGACCTGGTCGGTTTGCGCATGTTTCAGTTTGGAATCCAGGTGACTTATTGCAGATCTCGGTCCCACACAGGAAGAAATGGACAGTAACCCCATGGTGTCCTCACTTCTCAACAAGCTGGCCAACTACACCAACCTGAGCCAGGGCGTGGTGGAGCACGAGGAGGACGAGGACAGCCGGCGGCGTGAGATCAAGGTCCCTGCCCACCTGTGCCCCCAGACCTCCGGGGCCCCTCGTGGCCTCCTCTCCTTCCCTGTGTTCCAGTGCTAGGACAGTTAGCCCTCGCCATTTTCCTGGGAATTTCATTTCTTAGGGATGCATTTCTAGGAAAGTAAGCAGAGCTGCCGCCGTGTAGAATGAGGTTCTTTGGGGAAATTTGTAAGAGCCAAGCTTGGAGACCACACGGACGCCCCTGAGGGCGCTGGTGGGCTGTGTGAGGACAGAACCGCCACGTGAGGTTTTTACGCCTCCGGACGGTGTTCAGATGGGTACAGACGAAGCCGAAGTCGAGGGTCTTTCTGTGGGATAATGATGGGTTATTATTAGTTTCTTCTTACTTCCCTTTACTTTTTAAATTCTCTTGCAATAAGTGTGTATTACTTGCAAATCAAAGCTGCAGGGTAAAAATAGCCCGTCCGGTGCAGGCTGCAGCCTCAGGGGTCCTGACGGGCCATCTCGCTCCTGCCCTGAGACCCTGGCGGAGAAGGGTGTTCCTCAGGCCTGGGCGGTAGTTCTTCCCTTCTGTTCACCTTTCTGCAGAGGGTTCGCGACAAGGTGGAAATTGGCTCTTCCCTGTTTTAAAGGGTGGTCCCCGCCCCCATCGGCTCTGAAAACACCACATGAAAGGCGCTGTGTTCTGAAGGCTTGTGAATTGGGGTGGATGCCTGTCCAGCAGGACAGAGGCCATGTGAGGCCGGAGCCCCTGGCCTCCCCGAGGGGGGGTGGCACTTTCTGCAGTGTTCTGCCAGCTGGATGGGACCACTGCGTGACCCCACATCTCTGAGCTGGGACAAGTGGGAGGGGTCTTGGCGGCCGTCTTTCTGCCATCTCTTCCCCTCGCGTCTGTGTCCACCCTGCCCATTGGGCCAGTACTGGGGCCGAGGTGCCGGGAGCCCTGTGTCCACACGGCCTCACTCACTCTCCCTCCAAATGCCTCTCTTGGGCCTGTGTCTGACCTCGGCCCCCTTGGGCTCCAAGCCAAGGCCGTCTTCCTTTTCTCCTCCCTCTGACTGTAAATCCAGGATTAACACTCATTTCCTGACGAGGGCATTGGCTCCTCTGTTCCAGGAGGGCTGCGTGTTCAGGATGGAAGTCGTGGGGACAGGGGACATGAGATGTGGCCTCCAGTCCTTCCTAGCAGAGGGCAGTGGCCTCTGGAATGCGCCTTTCTTGGTCCCTCTGCAGTGATTTTCCTGGCTCCTCGGACTCTGGCCACCCTAGCTGTTCATGGAGCCACCGCCCCTGCCCCACCAGGCAGGGGACAGGGGCACTCACCCTAGGTGATGCCATGTGGAGGTCACAGATTCGGGTGAGTGCCCGGGGCACTCCCTCTGGTCTCACGGCTCATGCTCTGGCTCGCCTGCAGGAGCCCGCTGTTCACGCACACGGCGTACATCTGCCCTGTCTGCTGGAGCCCGTGTTCCCGGGAGCCGTCGGCCGCCCCAGGAAACATGCTTTCCCGCGGCGACCTGGGTCTGAAAGCTTCCCGAACCCACCCTCAGCCTCAGTTTGTGCCCCCTCGGGCGGCCTCCTGCCGCTGCGATTCCTTTCAGGCACGTGGCCCAGCCCAGCAGGTCACAGACGTCCTTGCAGCACACAGAAATGCAGCCCATGCCCTGCCTGGTGTAGCTCAGTCCGTGGAGCTAAAGAGTCACGGGTTCGATTGTGGCCAAGGGCATGTACCTTGGTTGTGGTTCATCCCTCGCCCTGGTCCGGGTTGTGTGGGAGGCAGCCAATCAGCATGTCTCTCTCACATCGACGTTTCTCTCTCTTTCTCCCCCTCCCACTCTATCCGAAGACATTTGGAAAAATATTCTCGGGTGAGGATTAAAAAAAAAAAAGAAATGCAGTCCAGACCCCGAGTTGAAGTTTTTGTTGAGATGTAACCTAAGTGTCAGCCTGGTGAATCCGAACAAGGCACATGGTGTGGGCCCACCACCGATGGGGACCTAGAACAGCACTGGGTTGCAGTGACAGCAGGGACAGCTACCAGTGACCCTCAGTAGGACCGTGTGTAGCCAGGTGGCAAGTTTCGGTTGGGATGAAGCTGGTAACCCAGTTAGGGATGCGTGTCGGTCCCCTGGGAAGAAGGGGGAGGCTGCCCCTTACTGTCTCTCTGGCCAGCCGGACGTAGGAGCTCACTCCCAGAGAGTTTGTTCCCGGCTCCGGGGCCTCAGAGCTGCTCGGGTGCATCCTTCAAAGCTGCCTTTTATAAGAGAACTGGAGGCTGCTGTGCCCTTCCAGGGTGACTCAGGACCATGTCAGCCGCTGGGCACAGGACTGGCTCCGGGTGGGAGGGGCCCACAGGAGGCCTGGAGCCCCAGCTGCTCTGACTAGAGGGTTGTTTCAGCCTCCTGTGGTGGTTTATTGATCTCTTCATATATTAACTAGGATTATAAAATAGAAGCTGGCAGTTTGTCCAGCGTTGCTGTTACTTTGTTTCCAGTCTCATTTTTATACAATTGACATACGCCCCTCCTATGCCTAAGACCCATAACCACTGCTGTTTACACAAAAAGCACAGTTATGCTCAGCTGCCCCAAATCCAGGACTCGGATCCAAGCCTGCAGCTTTCCGATCCTAGCTCTCCAGGCTGCTCCCTTAGGTCGTTCTCCCGGGGGCCCTGAAGCCAGTGGGAGCTCTGTGGCCTTGCCTGCGCGGCGGCAGGTGTTCCTAGCTGTCGACAGCTCCATTTTCACCTGCGGAGCCTGTCTCTTTAATGGGGATTCAGCCGTTCTCCTTTGGGCCTTTGCTCTCCAGCCACCTCCCTGGAGCCAGGTTATGTCCCCCTGGATCCCAGGGCTGTAGCTCCTCTCTGAGCTGCCGTATGAGGTCTTGTTTTCGGTCAGCCTTGTCATTCACAGGAAAGCTTCCCGTGTGTGTGTGTGTGTGTGTGTGTGTGTGTGTGTGTAATTCAATACCTTTTCCCCATGAAACAGCATCTTGTCTTTGCAGCCAGATGTCCTGAAATCCCAGGTGTGCCGCCTGACTGTGGTCACACTGGCTGTCACCCCAGATCACAGACGGAGTGGCTGGGGCTGGCAGGCAGGCTCCTGGCCATGTCGCCACCTTATCCTCTGGGCTGGTCTGCTCATCTCATAGTCTTTCCAGGATCACAGCAGGCATTTCTGTCAGGCACCTTCGCAGCCCTGCCCGGTCTAGCGCTTACCCCACGTGCAGCGGCACCCCTGCCGAGAGTCTGAATCTGCGGTTGTGGACTCGGGGGGAAGGATCTCACTGTGCGCCCAGGCGGCTGGTTCTCTGAGCTCTCCATGAGCCCTGATTCCTTCCTCCATGAGGGTTGAGACATCGCTGCTTTCTGCACCTTCTTTGGTTTTAGGGAACATGACTGCCCCATCCTCCATGGCCCTCACTTCTCACACTGTGGTCTCCCGAGGGGCTAGGAGCCAGAGTCCCAGTCCCGCGGCACAGAGCCGAAGCCTCATGCACCTGTCTTTTTCCACAGAGCCCTCCTTCCTGCTGTTCCCCTCGAAGAGGGAAGCCCAACCTGGCTGCTCCCCTCTCTGCTCCCTGGAGATGATGTGGTTTTGGTTTCTCCAGGAAGGCCACCCTGCTCCCGGGCAGCCAGGGTCCTGCTCTGGAATCTCCTGCAGCCTCAGTGCACTCTGGGGTGTGGTTCCCCCTCAACCATTTTTCCAGGTCCAGGCAGCTGAAGCTTTTCACCCTCGCCGGTTCCTTTCCTTGTCCTTCTGTTCCTGGGACCTCTTCCTGGGGTCTGAGGGTGTAGCCAGGGCTCCCAGAGGAGGGATTCCCAGGGACAGGGGCTGAGGTTGACCCCTGCTGGGTGCAGGCGTGGCCTCCCTGGAGCTGCGGTTGTCTTTCTCTCTCTCAGAGCCCTGGCATGGGCACCTTTATCGGAGTCTACCTGCCCTGTCTGCAGAACATCCTCGGCGTGATCCTCTTCCTCCGCCTGACGTGGATTGTGGGCGTGGCCGGCGTCCTGGAATCCTTCCTCATTGTGTTCATGTGCTGCACCTGTGTGAGTGACCGAGTCTGTTTCAGATGTGATGGTTTTTACTTTGGGGTAGTGGCATCTGGACTCCAGGGACCCCAACCATGTGGACACCTGTGGACCCTCCAGGGTCCGCTGCCCTTCAGTCTGAGGTTGACCGCGTGGACTCTGTCCCAGGGAGGTTTCCTCACTGGTGCTGGTGTGATCATGGGGAAATGGATGTGGCCTGGGGGCTATGACCATGCTGTCCGTCAGCCCCAGGGAGTCTCATTTAGTTAAATCTGCAGAAGCACCGAGGGTTTTCACCAGCACTGCCACCATTCACGGGAGTCTTGCACTTGGACCAGGTCCCCTTCCAGTTGGACCCATGTGGACATTTTCAGGGACCCAGTTTATAGGAAGGGACATGTGTCGATGACTTGTTAAGCCCCAGGCCCCAGCACACCAGACCTGCCACTTGGCCTCTGCACCTGTGTCCCTGTCTGTTAGCGACACATAGTTTCTTCTTTCCACCATTTGGTTATGTCCGGTTTACTCTCTGGATGCTCCTCCGTGCCTTCTCCCCATCTGTGGTTTTTCCCACTTCCTTTATTGTTTGGAGGGTGACTAAGCTGTTCTGTCACCATGTGTCACCTGGAGACAGCTGTCTGAAGATAAGCGGGTGTCCCCTGGGCCCCTCTCAGGCCACTTTCCCTGCTGCCCTGGACTTCCCAGAGCTGTGGTGTGGTCACCTAAATGGCCTCGCTGCATACTGCCTGGGTCACATGTTTCTTACACTTAAGAGCTGGGATATGTCTGGAGTAGTGCCCGATACACACAGAAGGGTAAGAAGCAGGATGACGGGGCGGGGCCTTGTCCAGAGAGCAGACGTGGCGCCAGGGCCTTTGGTTTCCAGGATGTTCCTTTTGGCCCTTGGGTTGTAAAATAGTTACTCCCCAACCCATAGGTGGCTGCTTCCTGAGCAGGTGGGCACGTTATACCCCTTGGGGGGTGGGCACCCAGGTGGAAGCTGGCCTTTCAGTGCTGGACAGGGTCCTGAGCCGGGTGTTTTCTGGGCATCCTGGAGGAACTCAGTTTGGGGAGTTAAATGGAAGAGAACATGGGTGTGGGGGCTGCAGTCCCGAGTGTCTGAAGCTTCTCCTGCTGGTTAGTCAGCCCTTTGTGGTAGGAGCTGGGGAGCAGGCAGCGGCCCGGGAGCTCTGCCCAGGCCGGCTGCTGTGTTCTCGGTGCCGGGAGCCCTCAGAAGCGCTCTCCTGAAAGGGTCGCCTGTCTCTCTGCAGACGATGCTGACCGCCATCTCGATGAGTGCGATCGCCACCAATGGCGTGGTCCCAGGTAAGGGGGTGCTGGGGGCTGGGTCATCTGAAATGGAGCCTGCCCTTTGGGGGTAGTAACTGAGCTGAACCCTGCTGTGGATTCAGAGCATGCTCCACTTTCATTCCGATGATGACCTTGACATCAGCCCTTTACCCAAGTGGCCACAGGTGAGGCAGGAAGTGGGGCCCTGTGCCAAGAGGCCCAGTGTGGACGTGTCCTTACCCACTTGCAGGTTGCTGCCTGCCATTCGTGTCTGAGCACAGAGATCTCCATGTCTAGAGGGGTCGGATGGGTGGGAGAGGGTCAGCTCAGTCTAGCCAGGCCCTTCCAGAAACTCTGTTGGCAGTGACCCCACCTTTGGGTGGTGATGCTCATGCAACTCTTGGCTCTCACCTGCATGCAGATTCTTTTTGAATAGGTTTTTTAAAATTGATTTTAGAGAGAGGAAGGAAAAGAGAGATAGAGACAGAAACATCAATGAGAGAGAGACATCAATCAGCCTTCTCCTGCACACCCCCTACTGGGGACCGAGCCTGCCCCTGGGCATGTTCCCTGACTGGGAGTTGAACCTGAGACCTCAGGGTGCATGGGGCGATGCTCAGCCAACTGAGCCATATCAGCTGGGCTGCACAGGGACTCTTGAGGGCTAGTGCCCCTTTTTTCCTGGGGTCTCTTCCTGTGTTTCCCGCAAGGGCACCTTGGGGCTTTGCTAAGACTAGGGTAGGGGCCATTTTATGGCTCATCCCCCAGCACCTTCCTGAGTGCTCAGAGGCTGCTGTTGGGATTCTCCTTGGAGCAGAAACTCACATCAACACCCCAAAATATCTTGATAAACTTATGCTTTGCTGGCATTTTATTTTTATTATTTTTATTTTTAAAAGTTTTTTTTTATTTTTTTTATTGATTTTAGAGAGAGAGGAAGGGAGATGGAGAGAGATAAGACATAAATGAGAGTGGACATCTACTGGCCGCCTCCTGCATGCCCCTCACTGGGCATCTGGCCCACAACCTGGGCATGTGCTCTGACTGGGGATTGAACCGGCAGCCTCTAGGTGCATGGGTCAATGCTCAACCACTGAGCCACACCCAGCGGGGCGAGGCTGCCATTTTATGGCCAGATGTATCCCTTTGATTCTGAAATTTAATTTCCCATAAACCATCATCATCTTTTTCTTGTTTTTTTTCCAAAAAATTTTTTTCCCTTTATTGATTTCTTTTTAGAGAGAGAAGAAGTGAGAGGGAGAGAGAGATAGAAACATCGATGAGAGAGAACATCGATTGGCCGCCTCCTGCATGCCCCACACTGGGGATTGAACCAGCAACCTCTTGGTGCATGGGTCGATGCTCAACCACTGAGCCACACCGGCCGAGCTATCATCCTCTTTTTAAACCAATATAACTAAAGCACTACAGGCTGCATTCCTTGCCTCTGGTGCTCTCTGACTGAGGAGTAGGAACACAGGAGGGGCTGCCTGGGTGATGGGGAGGAGGCGCTCTGGTCTGTTTCCTGAAGTCATGGCTATTTGTTTTCCCCCATTCTGCAGCGTAGCTCCCATCCCTGGTGCTGGGAGGGCAGTGCCCCGGGGCAGTGAGCTCAGCAGAGAAGGGAAGGCGGGGAGGCAGGTAGGCTGGGGCTGCATCCAGTTGTCTCTCATGAGCACAGGTGCAGGCAGAAATGCCTCTAATTGATTTCCTACCTGGATTCAAGGGACTGAAACGACACCACCTTGTTCCCCTGCAGCCTGTGCAGCCTGTGTGTGTATAAGTGAGGTCCAGCATGTTTTGCACCCTAAGGCCTTGACTAGCTGCCCCTCCCCCAGACCTTCCCAGGCCTCCCAAAGAGCAGCAGTGGTGTAGAGGCCATCCATTCTCCGGCCTCAGAGCACGAGGCCCCGAGACTCGGTGCCAGCGGGGTTGCGACACGCTCACTTAGAGAGTTGACTCCAGGGCAGACTGGCTTTTCGAAAGGAGGATACGCCCCGAGTTCTTTAGGCATTCCAGAGCCACCCCACGGTCTCCCGGTTGGTATTTGAGGGTGGACTTGGCTCTCGGACCTGTGGGGTGTGGCTGTCAACTGCACTCAGGCTGATATGAAATGATGCTTAAACAACTCTGGGCTCTCAGGCCTCTTGGGGCCAAAGTTAAGAGAATGGGAGTGTTGGTCTTCCATCAAAATGTGCAGATTTATGGGCTCTGCCCTGCTCATGGCTGATTTTCACCACAACCCTGTTTGGTCACAACTTCCAGAGCTGGCTGTCTGTTGGGTGAAGTCCATGTTCACCATGCATGGTGGGTCCTTAACCCCTGTTTCTGGTTGGTGTTTTTGCAGCTGGTGGCTCGTACTACATGATATCAAGGTCCCTGGGGCCGGAGTTCGGAGGGGCCGTGGGCCTCTGCTTCTATCTGGGCACAACTTTTGCTGGGGCCATGTATATTTTGGGCACCATTGAGATTTTTCTGGTAAGTGCTTTGTTTTGGGCTGACTCCCCCTTGCCCGGGTTCCTACCCCAGGGGCAGCGCTTCCTGTCAGGCCTTTCTTCTCAGCCATTGTTCCTCATCATCTGGCAGACATTCTGGATTCCCCAGAACTTCACGTCGGAGTACTTACGATCAGTCTTTTAATGTGTGTCAAGGTAGACATGCCGGCCTGGTTTGCCAGACCCTTGAGAGGTTGAGCTCTTCGGGGATCCCCACCCTCTACCCCGACTTTTCTCGTTGCTCCAGTGCCGAGGGCGTGGCTGTCAGAAACACCAGGGTTCCTGATGGTGGGCCATGGGGTGGTGTGCTCCCCAAGCCTTGTTTGTCAGGTCCCCGCACCTGGTCCCACTCTCTTAGCGCTGTCACCGGTCCCTCGGTTCATCCTCCCAGCAGGACGCACCGAGCACCCACTGGGCGTGTCCGCACTCGGCACCAGCCCTGCGTGGTTCTGGAAGGACTGTGTCAGGCTGGCGCTGGTCTCCAGCTGGAATCACATCCCTGTCGGCAGGAAAACATTGCTCTTCTTTTAAATTAGGGAGGGGGGATCCTTGTGTTCTAGCACTGCTTCACCACGAAGGTCCTACGCGCCATCTGAGTTGTGTCCCACCCCTCAGCACTTGATGCCTGTGTTTTATGTACCGAAGGGTCCCCTGTGGGTGCATCCTGGTGGGGGGCTGCTGTCGGGGAAGGTGGACGCCCAGAGATCGGCCCCTTCAGGAAGTTGTGTCTGGCCCTGCTCCTCTCCCCATGTGGTTTCTTCCAGGCAGGGATGGGTAGGCTGCCCTTCTTGACCTGCTTTGTCCCCACAGACCTACATCTCCCCGGGTGCATCCATCATCCACGCCAAGTCGCCGGATGGTGAGGCCGTGGCCATGCTGCACAACATGCGCGTGTATGGGACGTGCACACTGGTGCTCATGGCCATGGTGGTCTTCGTGGGGGTCAAGTATGTCAACAAGCTGGCCCTGGTGTTCCTGGCCTGTGTGGTGCTGTCCATCCTTGCCATCTACGCTGGTGTCATCAAGACCGCCTTCGACCCACCGGACATCCCGTGAGTCCCAGTCTTCCCAAAGGGGTCCCTTGTCCTTGGTCCTTCCGCTTGGGTCAGGTCTGTAAGGATAGTGGCTTATTTGTAATTCAGGTTTCATCTGTGACTGTTATGGTGGCTGGGGTGGTGGTGCCAGGTGTCTGGCAGTCTCACCTCCTCTCACTGTACCAGGGATGCAGTCAGGATGCTCTTGTAGCCCGCCACCTGCAAGGACAGGACAGGGGTTTTGGTGACGGCCAAGGGCATATAAGTTGGCTGGTGGCCCTGCGGACAGTCAGGCAGAACTGAGCTCTTCCCACTCCCGTAGCCCTCAAGTGGGTTCTTTGCTCATCCCCCTTTTCAGTGTGGACACTACATCACAAGGAAGTGGCTCTAGGTCACAGGGAGTAAGTGAGCAAGTGAGCCGGTGGTGTGGCTGGCGGTCAGGTGTCAGGTTGCCCATTGGCCGGGCTGGGGTGGGCGGGGAGGCAGCTGGCAGCCAGCCCCCTCCTGGCTCCCGCACTTTGCTGTCTCCATAGGAGGGAGCTGCCTGGGCAGGAACAGTCCCGTTCATTCCTGTGTCCCACACTCTAGAACAGGGTAGCAAAACAGACCATCCCTTAGCCCCACACTGCGTGAGAGCTGGACTCCCGCTGGGACACTGATTTCCAGCAGCGCGTGCAAAACGTTCCCGTCGTGCTACACGGAGCTGTCAGAAGCTGCTCCCGGGGAACCCCTGCGAAACCTCCACCTGGTCACTGAGGAAAGTGGTGGGAGTAATTTCACACATCCTGCGTGTCCCTTACCCCCACTCCTGCTCTAGGGTCTGTCTGCTGGGGAACCGCACGTTATCGAGACGCAGCTTTGACATCTGTGCCAAAGTCCACACCACCACCAACGGCACGACAACCACGGCGCTTTGGGGCCTCTTCTGCAACAACTCCATGCCCAGCGCTACCTGCGACGAGTACTTTGCCCAGAACAACCTCACGGAGATCCAGGGCATCCCTGGCGTGGCTAGCGGCGTCCTCCTGGGTGAGTGCCCATTGGATCTCAGCGGGGCCGAGTTGTCCAAAGCCCAGTCCCTGGGAACCCGTCCTGCTGCCCAGTCCATGGTTGTGCCGCTCTTTCCTTGATGCTGATTTGCCGGGGCCCCTGCCTGGCCTGCTTCTCCCCAGGGCCATAGATGCAGCCGTGTTGTGGAGGCCAGCGTTCAGGGACTCCAAGTTGATCCTTTTTCTAGGACTTCATAGCAGCTCTGTTAGTCAGGGAAGTAATTAACCGGTGGGGGCTGGCTCCCCCACGACACCAGGGCAGAGGCCCGACCGTTTATAGAAAAGGAAGTGGAATCATCCTGAGGCTGTGATCACTGGGTCCCAGGCTGTCCCCGCTGGTAGATCGATACCCCGCTGTGGCTGTGATGACAGTGGGTGTTGGGGGAATTCGGGGGCTGTACTGGGTGGAGGTGAGTGGGCAGAGATGGGTCAGGGCTGCACATGTCCACACATCCCTGGGATCCTGGTGCTCACAGGCCCCTGGCTAGAGGCCAAGCCCTACTTCTGGGTTCTGGCAGAGCAGGACCCTGTTGACAGGTCACACAGGGAGAGTAGAGGTGCAGTCAGTGTGCCCTGAGTGAGGGAGCAGGGAGAGGTGGGAGTGAGGCATAGAGATGACCTGCGGGGTTGGAGGATCCCTGCGGGGGAGGGGATCCATGTTGGGGGAAGCGCCCTGAGGGGATGGGCTCTGCAGCAGGGACCCTCTAGGGAGTTTGGAGGGGAAGAGGGGTCTGTGGAGAGGAGGCCTGCAGGCTGGGGTCTGCCCCGGGGTGCATTTGCACAGGTAGGAGGTGGACCCGGGGTGTCACCTCAGTTGTATGTGGGGGATAGGGCCATCACTACCCCTTAAGGGTCCTCCATCGGCGGAGCAACCTAGGTGAAGGGATTGCTGACTGACTCCTCGACCGGAGACCCTCCCTCAGACCCTCAGGGACACACTGGTTCACGTGAAGTCTTTTCTTCACATTTGACTTCAGGACCGAAATCTTGCATTCAGTGATTGGGTGAACAGTGTCCTCAGACGTCACTTTCCGACTTTGCTGTTCTTGTCCTTGTGTGAAGTTGGAAGTTGGAGCATGCCCAGTGCATCTGCTGGGCCTCCCTGATGGCAGGGGCCCCGATGGCAGGTTCTCGGTCCCATTACCCATCCTTTCCCCCCACAGATAACCTGTGGAGTGTGTACACGGACAAAGGGGTGTTTGTGGAGAAGACGGGCACACCCTCGGTGCCTGTGCCAGAGGAGAGCAGAACCAACAGGCTGCCCTACGTCCTCACCGACATCATGACCTATTTCACCATGCTGGTTGGCATCTACTTTCCCTCTGTGACTGGTGAGGCCTCGGGCATTCCAGGCGGGCCAGAGCTGTCTCCTCCCTCCCTCCGTGCGAACATAGCCAACCCTGTCCCCCTCCCCTCGCCCCATTTTTTTGTGTGTTTGGCTCAAGAAATGAGCAAAATTTGCTCCCCGCCTGTTCTGAGTGGGGAGCAGAGGAAGTTGTGTGGTTTAAGGTATGCTCTCTGGGAGGCCCGTGTTATTAGAAGTAACTCTGACTGCGGTGTGCACTATTCAGTGGGACCTAGGAGTGAACACGACAGCTGTTAGTGGCCAGGTACTGCAGCCATCCTTGTCCTTACAAGAGAGGTAGCTGACCATCTGGGGTGGCCCTTAGCGTATGAAAGTCTTCCCCCCACAGCTCATACACATGCATGCACACACACTACTCCTGGAGACCACTTCCCACTGGGACACCCCTCCGCCTGACCCCCACAGAGGGAGAGCCTGGCCTGGCGGAGTGAGCAGCCTGTAGCTGTCGTCGGTGTGTCTGTCCCCGTGGTCCTGTCCAGGTCACCTGGCCCCCACTGCAAGCCTGTCTGCACTCTAAGGCGGGCTTGCAAGGGGCCACTCACCTTCTCAGCTCTTGCTAAAGCCATGGGGTTCATAGGCGGGGATGCGGGAGGTGTCGGAAGTGCTTCTTTTTAGTCTCCCCCCATAAGTGGGGTCATGGACTCACTTTGGTGAGTGGTGGGATCTGGATCTGGCCCCTGGGGGTCTTTGTGCTGTGTCCCCCCATCTGTCAGTGTGGAACATGTTCTAGGGTGAGAGCACACCTGGTAGGTGGACCGCATGGAAACGTCCTCCGGATGCAGGTGTTCCAGAGCCCATGGCACCTGTCTGTGGGCTCTGTGCCAGCACACTCACCCACCCCGCCCGCACTGCCACCTTTCTGAGCACATTGGCACATCAGGTCACCTAGAATGTGCTCATGAGGCACTGAACGAGTCTGCCATCAGCGGTGTTTCTTTGAGCTCAGTTGGAATCATTTTGCTTCATGTACCAAATGGAATGAGTCTTGGGCGTGGGCATGAACACCAGCATGCGGGGATAGGATTGGACCCAGTGGGAGTTCATGTAGGGGGGGCCCGAGGTACCTTAGGGTCATGTTCTCATAATGCTCGATTCAGACCGGGTTTCTTGGGGAATTTAGCGTCGTTATGCTGGGACTTTCTGACCTCCAGCCACGTGGCTTAACTCAACTCTTAGAGGAAAGTGAGCTTGGAGGCAGGTGTACCCGGAGGCTGACTCTGGGTTGAGCCTTGCTCTGGTCTTGACTGTGACTTAGTTCATGGTGGGGTCACCTGTCCCCGTGGAGAGTGGGAGACATTCTCCCGTGTGCCCTGCAGCAGCCCTCCCACAGCTGCGCAGCGAGTTGGGGCTGTGCTCTTCATATATGTGTATGTTTTTATTGATTTTTTTTTCTTAGAAACATCGAAGTGAGAGAGAAGACATCAATTGGCTGCCTCCTGCACGCCCCCTACTGGGGATCAAGCCCATGACCCGGGCATGTGCCCTGACCAGGACCTCTCAGTCCATGGGACGACGCTCATTCCACTGAGCCACACCAGCTGGGCTGGGCTGTGTTCTTTGAGCCCAAGTCGGGGAATTGGCCCCATGGAGATGTGGTCTTCGTTCCAACATGGTGTGGCTGATGTTCATCCCAGCTCAGCCTCGGATGGACCTTGGCCAGTGGGGATGGAGTTTTCCAGGTTTGCTTGGTAACAGGTCAGCTCCGCCTGTTTCCGCAGGCATCATGGCAGGCTCGAACCGATCCGGAGACCTCAGGGACGCCCAGAAGTCAATCCCCACAGGGACCATCCTAGCCATTGTGACTACATCTTTCATTTGTATCCTTAAAGGGGTCAAGGCGTGAAGGTACCGGGGCTGTCCAGCAGCAGCTTTGGGTGCGCTTCTCGGGTTTAGGCGAGTTCTGATCACATCTGTCCCTGAGAGAGGGACCTCAGAGAAGTACTGGCCTGATGCAGGAAGATGAAACATGGCACCTGAGTCGGTTATGGAATGTGATGTTGTGTGTACAGTAGTCATGTTACCACATGCCACATATCACATGTATTAGTAACACATAACCACGTGTACCACGTGAGTCACACACGTGTGCTGTAGTCCTCCACAGTGCTGTGTCTCTCTGAAGTCCGTCTCCTCTAAGCCAGTGTCGCCTGCGGTGGTCACACTGCAAGCCCGGCTTGTCCTCCCTGACCCGAGGCCCCGTTCTGAGGAGCCAGGGCTCAGCCGTGAGGAGGTGTCTGAGCCACCGGGACATGGCAGTGCGCCCAGCCTGGGTGGGCGGGCGCAGCGTGGCTGCAGGCCTCTGCCGCCGGGCCCTGCTGCCAGCACACGGCGTCACTGCTTCCTTGACACCAGCCGCAGACCTCTCCTGCATCGTGCTCTTTGGGGCCTGCATTGAAGGCGTGATCTTACGAGATAAGTATGTTGGTTTTAATGTGCAACTTCTAAATGCCTGGAGTCAGAGTCGGTTCTTTTGAATGACTTTAGCTTTGAAATTGAGCTCACTCAGGATTTCACACTGTGTGGGTAGAGCAATAAGCCCCCACGATCCCTTTGTTAAGGTTCCGTTTGGCCTGATGCATCCATCCTTCTCCTGCTCTAGCCTGGAGCTGGGAGACCATAGAGTCACCTCGGACCCGACAGGGCTGGGGGTGCAGGGGATCCTGGGAGAGGCCATGAGGAATCCCGCTGGCCCACTGCTCAGTGGGGGAGCAGCCAGTGCCCAGGCTGTCGCCCGCCCGCTCTGCTTGCTGGTGGGTGTGTGTCCAGCAGCCCCTCGGGGCAGGAGGGCCCCCTGACAGTGAGGCTGTGGTCTCTGTCACTTTTGCAGGAGAGACTGTCCTCATGGGCCCTGGGCTGGCCTGTGGCTTTCCTGCCCCTGAGAGAACTCTCCGGGGGCAGGACCCCGTGTTTACTCGGGGTAGTAGTGCCCTTGTGCCCACTCAGAAGCTGGGAAACTGTTTAATCTTCAGCTCATGTTTTGAAAGTCCACCCTGCCCTCCCCTCCCCTCCTGCAGGTTCGGGGAGGCCCTGCAAGGGAACCTGGTCATTGGCATGCTGGCCTGGCCGTCCCCCTGGGTCATCGTCATCGGCTCCTTCTTCTCCACCTGTGGCGCCGGCCTGCAGAGCCTGACGGGGGCTCCGCGCCTGCTGCAGGCCATCGCCCGAGATGGCATCATCCCCTTCCTCCAGGTGAGTGGTGGCTGCCCACAGGTTGGGTCTGCATCGAGGCTCCCTTCTGAGAGCAGGACCCTTGGGAAGGGACATGGCTGGAGGGTGCCCAGGCTCTGTCTTGGAGCACAGAGACAGATGGTGGGAGGGACCCACGTCCTCACCTCCAGCCTGGCAGGCCCCCACCCCAGATGGTCACCAGGCTGAGGGTGTGGGGTCCCTCGGGCAGAGGCAGTCCCTCGCCACCGGGGCCGGCAGAGCAGTTCACAGGAGGGAACCTCTACTTCCTGTGGGGTTGGCATCTGTCCTGTGGGGCCCTGGGCCTCAGGACTGTCCTACTGTGACGACGAGGGTCATGGGGTCTGGAGCCCCTGCTTCCTCCAGTTGGGGCTAAAGCTTTCTGGAATGAGAATGAGGCCATTGACAGGTTAGTGTGGTGCCACCGTGACAGAGGCCAGGACAGGGCAGCGTGAGCAACACGAGCTGACTCTCTCAGTGCTGGAAGTCTGAGGTCAGGGGTCGCAGGGCTGGTTCCTCCTGAGGCCTCTCCTTGGGGTGTAGACAGCCCTCTTCTCCCCTTGTCCTCACGTGGCCATCTCTCTCTGTGTCCGTTCTAGTCTCTTATAATGAGCCCAGGGTCCGCCCCAGTGACCTCATTGGTCATCTCTTCAGAGTTCTCCACTCCAAACATAGTCATGCCCTGAGGTTCTGGGGTCAGGACCCCACCATGTGAATTTTGGGGGCATCGACATATTGATTGAGCATCTGGAGTGACCACAGCTAGCGTGTTGCTGTGACGCCAGTGTCCACCGTTCTCACCATAGTTTCCTGAAACCAGTCCCAGCAGACTCGGGTTTTGTCACTTTTCACTTCTTTTTTTTTTAATCTTTACCGGAGAACGTTTTTCTAAAATTTTTTTTCTTTATTGATTTTTAGAGAGAGAAGAAGGAAGAGGGAGAGCGAGAGAAACACTGATGAGAGAGAACATCGGTTGACTGCCTCCTGTGTGCCCCCCACTGGGGATTGCGCCCACAACCTGGGCATGTGCCCTGACCGGGAATCGAACTGGTGACCTCTTGGTGCATGGGTTGACACTCAACCACTGAGCCACACCGGCTGGGCAGGACATTTCACCATTCAGCCTCAGATAGAGTGGAGGGAGGGAAAGAGGCAAACAGGGAGAGAGTGAGAGATACACTGATGTGAGAGAGACACATCGATGGGCTGCCTCCCGCATGACCCGACCGGGGCTGGGGAGGAACTGCAGCCGAGGTACGTGCCCTTGACCGAAATTGAACCCATGACTCATTGGTCCGTGGGCCGACGCTCTAACCACTGAGCACACAGCCAGGGCACCTTTTGCGACTGTTCGTTCAGGAGAGGTGAGGTCATGGAGGCGCACTGACAGCACAGGACCGTGCTGGACCATGGGAGGTGGCATGCGGGCTCCTAGGCTTGTGGGGCCCCAGCTAGACTCCCCGAGGCTTGGCCCGTGGAGCCATTGCACTGGGTCTGCATTTCGTGTTCCATTCTGTGTGTCTGCAGCATGTGCTGAGTTTTCCTTCCCAGACCCCCCTGCGCGGAGCGGGTAGGAAGAGCTTTTCAGGCCTGGTGTCCCTGAGCATGGGGCAGACCTTCTGGAAGGTTCTTCCGCCCCCACACAGCTATGGGTGAAGGTCCAGGTACCTTGGAGTGAGGTTCTTGCAGATTTCTCTTCACTTGAGGCTGCACTTAGAACCCCAGGAGACCCCTTTCCAACACATGAGTGTTTCCCTGCACCTTGGCTGCACTCTGCCAGGGCCTGGGTCTGATGGTACTGGCTGCCATCTCCTCACAAGTTTTGGGTGTTGGGTTTTCTTCCTGGGCCCCTGGGTAGGTGCAGGACACATGCAAATCCACTTCTGTATACATTGCATCCCTGAGGCCTTGTGGGTTGGACCAGCCAGCTGCGGGCATTGTTCCTACGGCCGCCTGCCCGTGGTCCCCAGCCCACGTGCCCCTCTCCCTGCAGGTGTTCGGCCACGGGAAGGCCAATGGGGAGCCCACGTGGGCCCTGCTGCTCACGGCCCTCATCTGTGAGACCGGCATCCTCATCGCTTCCCTGGACAGCGTGGCCCCCATCCTCTCCATGTGAGTACGGGCACAGCCAGGGCACACGGGCCAGGCACGGGGACAGGGTCTCCACTGGACCACTGCGGAGACACGAGGCCCTGCTCTCAGGCTGGCCTTCTGCTCGGGGCAACAGACAGGAATGGGCCCAGGGGCCCAGGTAGTTATGGTGTGAAACAGTGATGTGGGTGAGAGGGGGCAGGAGACCCCAGGCGGGTGGTGATGTGGACAGGGACAGGGAGACCCCACAGGAAGAAGAGTGATGTGGATGAGAGGGCTCACCGGAGGTGGTGGCAGAGCAGATGTTGGGCCCATGGTGGGACCTGGCCCGACCCCTCAAATACTGTTTCTTGGTCCCCAGGTTCTTCCTCATGTGCTACATGTTTGTGAACCTGGCCTGCGCTGTACAGACCCTACTGCGCACCCCCAACTGGCGCCCGCGCTTCAGATACTACCACTGGTGAGGTCACCTGTCGGCTGCCACCGGGAGGGGTGCATGGCGTATCCGCAAGGCCAGCTTCTGTGGGGCCTGAAGGCGGAAGAGCCCAGCCAGGCTGGTGAGGGTGGCGTGCCTGTGTCACCTGGGACACCCACTGTGCGGCAGCCCTTGTTTTCAGTATGGGATCCAGGGCTGCTTGGTCTCATGTTCCCTGGCATCGGGTGCTGCGTCTCATGCCCAGCAGGGGGCCGAGCGCCTTGGGGAACAGAGTTCGGCCCAGTTGAAGAGCCAGGGCTTCAGCAGGTGTCAGCAGGGCCGCTCCAGCCCTTTGGAGCTGACTCAGGACGGAGGCGCCAGTTGCCAGGCATCTCTGCCGTTTTTTAGATGCAACTAAAACAAAGATTTTCACTAAGGGACCAGTAATGTTTTGGAGGTAGCTACTCAAATGTTAGTTTGGGGCATGAGGATAGGTGGCATGTGAGGTGTGGGGGTTGGGGTGCCAGCCAGGGCACAGACTCTGGTCCCCACCTGCAGCCACTAGATAACCACACACTCCCCCAGGACGCTGTCCTTCCTGGGCATGAGCCTGTGCCTGGCATTGATGTTCATCTGCTCCTGGTACTATGCCCTGTTCGCCATGCTCATCGCCGGCTGTATCTACAAGTACATCGAGTACCGCGGGTGAGCTCTGTGGGCCACCGGCCACCGCAGTCACGGCGTGCTCCCGGAGTGGGGCCTCCCTGGGGTTCTGTAGTCGAGTCCTATTCGGGGCCCCCTTGGACCAGGAATGTGGGGTCCCTCTCCCGAGGACAGGTGCACAGCGACCTCAGCAGGATTTCTGCTGCAGCCGTGGTCGTCACAGGTGGAGAGCGGCCACACCTGCTGTTCTCGGTTAATTTCATGCCTGTATGACACTGCACTCACCTGTCTGTGTATAAAAGCCATAATTTTTTAGGGTGCTTTTTGGAAACGAAAATCTACCCAATGGCAGCACTGATGTGTGATTTCAAAATTTCCAGAAACCACAGTGTCCAGACACCAAAGCCGTGGGCAGCGGTAGTGCCTTAGGTTACCTGCATCTCAGAGCCTGGTTCCTCCCTGGGGCATTTCCCCAGCCCCCGTCCCTGTGGGGAGGGGGGGAGGGGGGCCGCTGGGGTAGGGCTTTTCAGGGCGGTGGCACTACTCTGGCCAGGTGGTGGGGTGGGTGGGCTGCCTGAAGTTCCATCCTGGCTGTCATAGTGGTTTGGAAGGATGGTCTGCTCATGTGGGTGAAGCCATCGTTTGGTACCAGATCTGCCCAGGTCACTGCCTGCCCATCAGAGTCCCCCCACCACATCTTCTTCATTTCCCCCAGTTGGTCGCAACTCAGGTCTCATAGGGTGCCAGGGTCACCCCCCGCCCCTTCCAGCCAGGGTGCACCTTCCCATGTCCTGCCCCTCGCCCCTGTGGCCTCAAAGCCCATCCTCCATCACAGAAGCACAGAGAGAGCCTAAGTGAGCTTACTGGGGTGGCCTCCCTGCAGGCACCTTCCCGAGTGTTGTGTGGGGTGGGGTCTCACTGCTTCCCCTTTCTCCACAGGGCCGAGAAGGAGTGGGGGGATGGCATCAGGGGGCTGTCGCTTAATGCTGCCCGCTACGCCCTGCTGCGTGTGGAACACGGCACCCCCCACACCAAGAACTGGAGGTGAGCGCCTGCAGCCCCCCGAAACCCCGCCCCTGCCCTTTGGTCCCATGGAGCATTTGTTTCTAAAGTCAGACTTAGAAACCGGTCCCCCTCTTGTTAGGAGATGATGTCTCAGAAGCTTCTAGCGCCTTCCTTCAGCCATGGTGGGTGGGCTGGGGTGTGATCAGCTTGCGTGTGATCAGACATCTGGAGGGCAGTGTGCCGGGCTGTGTGGTGGGCGAGGAATGGGTGAGCGGTCCCAGGGGGCTGCTCCTGTGGGTGGAGACTTCCGCACGTGACAGCGGGCTGTGCCCTCTTCTCACTTCTGGAGGGGAGGAGGGCTGCCCCGTGGAACAGGGATTTAACCTGTACTGAAAGCCCTTGGTCTCCCCGTCCTGCACTTAACCTGGAGGTGGTAACAGGCTGGGACGGGAGGTGCCCACCGGGGTTTTCAGCAGGGAGCCTCAGCCTCCGGGGCCCAGGAGGCCTCTGACTATTCACCTGTCCCACCTGTTCACCTATCCTATCTGTTCACTTGTCCCACCTGTTCACCTGTCCCACCTGTTCACCTGTCCCATCTGCTCACCTGTCCCACCTGTTCACCTGTCCCACCTGTTCACCTGTCCTATCTGTTCACCTGTCCCATCTGTTCACTTGTTCCATCTGTTCACCTATCTTATCTGTTCACCTGTCCCACCTGTTCACCTATCCTATCTGTTCACCTGTCCCACCTCTTCACCTATCTTATCTGTTCACCTGTCCCATCTGTTTACCTATTTGACCTGTCCCACCTGTTCACCTGTTTCACTTGTCCTACCTTTCTCACCTGTCCACCTGTGGGAGAGCATGGTGACAAGTTGCCATGGTAACTTTGAACCCCTCCGCAGGCCCCAGGTGCTGGTGCTGTTGAACCTGGACTCTGAGCAGTGTGTGAAGCACCCCCGCCTGCTGTCCTTCACCACGCAGCTCAAGGCTGGCAAGGGCCTGACCATCGTGGGCTCTGTGCTGGAGGGGACCTACCTGGACAAGCACACGGAGGCCCAGCAGGCCGAGGAGGTGGGTGGGCGTGGGCTGGGCTGGAGGACGGACGTGGGCCAGGGTGGCCTGTGAAGGAGCAGAGGGGTGGCCAGGCCTGGTCTGCTGGGCTGCACAGGAAGGTCCATCTCCAGGGCCCCAGGCACAGTGTGTGTGCCTTGCTGTCGTTCGTCTCCAAAAGGACAGTGGTCTTTGAAACATGCGGGATTGAAATGTGCGTAAGAAATGCCCCCCAACATGCGATGCTCCGAGACCTTAAAGAGACAGCCGGTGCAGGCTATACTCAGGAAGGCTGCTGACCGGTGCTGAGGGCCGTTCAGCTCAAACCGTGGAGAAGTCCTCCTGATGGACAGGTTTCTCTAGAGCCCTTGTGACGGTCTCGCTCCAGTTTCATGTCTTTCCATGTTTGGGGTTGTCCCTGTCCTTCTGGGTTTGCCTGCTCAGAGACTCGGAGGTCTCGGCAAGAGCAGAGGGGAGTGGCTCCAGCCCTTTGTAGGAGTGTCCTGCAGTGGCTGTAACTCATGACCACACGTGAGAGGCTGGCAGCAGCACAGGTGCATCTCCCTCTCTTTGGGCCAGAAGTCCATTGTCAAGGTGTTGCAAGATTGTGTCCCCTCCCGACTGTGAGAAGGACCTTTCCTGCCTCCGTCAGCTGCTGGAGGCTCTAGGTGTCCCTGGCTTGTGGCTGAATTCCCCACATTTCTGCCCATGTTTACATGACACAGCCATGTCTGTCTTTCTCGTCTGTCTCTTATAAGGACACTTGGCACTGGATTCAAGGCCACCTGGGTGATCCAGGATGGTCTCATCTCAGGATTCTTAGTCACACCTGCAAAGAGCCTTTCTCCAAATAAGGCCACATTCCCAGGTTGTCAGGACTAGGTGTAGACTTTTAGGGGGGAGGGGTACCATCAACCCACTATAGTCTGTCCTCTGACCTCCAAATGCTCATCTGTCTTATGTGCAGAATATATTCATCTTACCTCAACCTCTGCCCCAGTCTCAACTCATTATCAGTTCTCATCCAGAATCCCGTCTAGATATGAGCAGCTCAAAGGTCCCACATCTCATCTTCTACATCACTTGAATTGGGTATTGGTGAGACTCTGGACATAGTTTATCCTGGGGCTCAGTTCCTGTCCACAGACCTGTGTTCCAGAGTGCAGTTGGGCAGGCCTGGGGGAGATTCCCCTTCTAGGGGGCAGATACGCAAGGAGTTGGAAATCCAGCAGGTGGTCCCTCAGGTGTCAGGCCCCGGGTGCTTCTCTGTGGCTTATGGCTCTGTCTAAAGGGAGCCCCGAGCCTGGCTTCTGTGGGGTGCTCAGACTGTGCGTAGCGGGGCGCGGTGCATGCATCTGGTATCTTATGCCCGAACCTGTGAAGTACCACAGCTGTCTTAGCAGGGTGTTCAGACTTGACATGTTCTAGTGGAGTTTTAACAAACCAGGTGTTTAACACAGGGCTCAAAGTGTCCCAGTGAAACAGTAGGCGGTTTTATGACAGCGTAGACCATGTTGAAAGAACCACCCCAAATTGCATGCACAGCACTGACCGTCACCCCCCCACACACACGTGGCCACAACACACACACAGGCAGTGCCCAGAGCACCTGCCGGATCCTGGAGTTAGTACCACAGACACCACCAGGCTGAGCCTACACCTTCCCTGAGGCGGTGATGTTGGTGGAGGGTCTGCCCAGCACTGCCCAGGCCCCTGGTGCGTTGGTGAGCTGACGGACACGGTGGCCCTGGCTCCTGTCCTCTCCGCAGAACATCCGGTCCCTGATGAGTGCCGAGAAGACCAAAGGCTTCTGCCAGCTGGTTGTGTCCTCCAACCTTCGGGACGGGATGTCCCACCTGATCCAGTCGGCCGGCCTGGGGGGCATGAAGCACAACACGGTGCTCATGGCCTGGCCCGAATCCTGGAAGGAGGAGGACAACCCTTTCTCCTGGAAAAACTTTGTCGGTGGGTAACGCCTCCCACAGGCCGGGGTGCCAGGATCACCAGCCTGAGAGCTGCTCCCTGGAGGCCTGTCGCCCGAGCTGTGCCCTTGCACCTGAATACATTTGAAAAGCCAGCGGCCATTTGAAAGCCTTGCGCTGCCTCTCCCTTTCTCCTGACCACCCCCCTAGTTTGGCTGCCCGCACCCCTGTGCTGCCTGTGGAGTGGCTGGTAGAGCGAGGGCTGCCTTTGGGGCCCGCTCTGGCGGGGGGCTTTGTGGGGACCCTGTGGCTGCCCGTCTCCTGCACTGGCGGGTGCCCAGCGAGTCCGTGGGGTATGCCGTGCTGCCGAGGCCCTGCTGACCCACGTGCTGCCTCTCCACAGACACTGTCCGGGACACCACAGCAGCACAGCAGGCTCTGCTGGTGGCCAAAAATGTGGACCTGTTCCCGCAAAACCAGGAACGCTTCAGCACCGGGAACATCGACGTGTGGTGGGTCGTGCACGACGGGGGCCTGCTCATGCTGCTGCCCTTCCTGCTGCGGCAGCACAAGGTGGGAGCGGGTCACGGGTGGGTCATGGGCGCGGGTCAGGGGTCACAGGTAGGGGGGTCATGGTTCACAGATGGGAAATCATGGGCCATTCATTGGTGGTGTGGGGGTCACATCATGGAAGGGTGCTGGGGGTCACATGAGTTGGGGACTCTGGGTGGTCTGTCTCCCGAGGTGGGCAGTGGGGCCAGTGGTGTCAGAAGCGGCCTGAGTGCAGATGTGTCCCCACCCCAGGTGTGGAGGAAGTGCCGGATGCGCATCTTCACGGTGGCTCAGGTAGACGACAACAGCATCCAGATGAAGAAGGACCTGCAGACGTTCCTGTACCACCTCAGGATCAGCGCAGAGGTGGAGGTGGTGGAGATGGTGAGGGCGTGTGGGCTTGGTGGGCAGGGCTGCTGGCTTGCTGTTCTGTTCACGTTTGGCATAGCCCTGGATTTGTGGGCACATGAAGGCGGAGCAGGGTCCCCGAGGGCCCCGGTGCTGACTGCACTGCACCGTGGTGTTCACAGCCGAGGGCCGGCCTGCACATTGCTGCTGTCTGCTCCCAGCTGTCGGCGTCTGCCATCATTCCCGATGTGCTTTGCTTCAGGGCCCCAGGCTGCACTGTCTCCTGGGGCCGGGAAAGTTTCTCTCTCTCTCTCTTTTATGACTGTGGTAGTTTAGAAGGACTCGGGTATTTTATAGCATGTTCCCCAGGTTAGGTTTGCCTGATGTTTTTCTCATGGCTGGACTGAATTTTGTTTATGGGAAGAAGACTCCAGAGGTGGCGTGCCCTCCCCAGCGTGTCCTAGGAGGGGATCGTGACCTTTAACCCTTCACAGGCAACGAGTCCCTGTGTCCAGGTGCATCACAGCACCCCTCTGTGAAGTCCACACTCTGCTCTGGAAGTGCACCCCTGAGTCCTCAGGGAGCAGGAGGGGCTAAGCTGTCAGGCTCTCCTCTGTGTGTGTCGGTGCATTTGTGTGCAGACCCCACACTGCTTTGCACTGTGGGTTCACTGCACTGTTCGTTCTGTGGCTCGTATTGTCCAGCTTTGGCTGTTGGGACGTCTTCCATGCAGCACCTGTGTCCCTTTGCCATCGTCCCCTGTAACCTCACACATTTTAAATCACCTGAAGCCAAATAGAATTAAGATGCAAATGACCTGACCTCCATTTGAGGGGTGCTGAGGCACGCTGTCGGTGTCACGGTTTTGAGTAACTATGGTTATATTTCCAAGCCACTGGTCTTATTCAGCTTTCCAAGTGGGTACTTGGTGCCATTTAACAGCATTGCTACAATTTACAGCCCTGCTAGATTTCAGTCGTGATTGCTAATTAGGTTTAGGTAGAAAGCACCTGTGGTTTAGGGGCATGCTTGTGTTTCCATTGTGAAAGTGCGAGAGTCCTGCTGTAGCCTGGGACCACCCTGCCACCCTCCCATCGGAGGGTGCGTCCTGCAGGGCTTCTGGTTGGGGCGAGTACTCCGGTGGGAGGGGGAGGCCATGGCTGGTGTCCAGTTAGTGAGGTCCCTCCTTCCCCTCTGCTGCTTCTGGGTCTTCGGGTCAGCCTCCCCTCCAGGGCGTTGCAGGACAGAGATGGTCCAAGACGCTGCTCTCACGTGGAGTGGGAGCCTTGTTCACAGAGAGCGAGGGCCCATGGTGTCATCTGCGACCCCCAGAACCTGGGACTAAGGTCCTCAGGAGGCAGGAGGCCCACAGGGTGCCTGGCGGCGATGGACTTGGGGGGAGCGTGAAAATGAGTAAGGAGAGGAGAGGCCAGTGGTTAGAGGCTAACATTTAACAATAAGGACTCAGGGCCACTAACAAGGAAGGAGGTGTTACAGCCAGCAAGGCTCAGAAAGACCAGAGACGGGAGCGTGAGCCGTGAAGTATCAGCACAAAGGAGCTCAGGGGTTTTCCTAAGACTCGTCTTTAAAATGAGTATATTTTATTAAGAGCATCAGGGAAATAAGTGTAAATGGACTCGAAGAGCACGCCAGCCAAGACCAGCTTGCTGTGAGCGCCGAGGGGCCGCACAGCCCAGCAGCCAGGCCAGCCAGCCACTGTCCGAAAGGGCCGTGCAAGCCTCCTGGATCCTGATGTCACTGCCTTACATGCCAGAAACGAGGGTGCCTTTTATTTTGCAGAGAATGTAATTTAAGGACCTGGAAAAAACAAAGAAATAGACATTTTTTTCAGCAAGAATTAAGTTGAGTGGACTGACATAGAAGTAATACGTAAAAATTAGTTTCTTCACACAGTGACTCATGGGATGACACCCAGCTCACAGAGCTCCACAGAGGTCCTACGGGCAGATCTCAGGGCCAAGAGGGTTGGGGGGTGCACCCCCATGGACAGGGAGGACCCAGCTTCACCCACTGAAGGATGGGCCAATGTCAGGAAAGGACCAAGTTCTGTGATTAGTGGGCAAGTTTATCCTGTGTGGGCGGCTAGCTCTTCTGGGCACAGAAATAACTCCTATTACTGTGAGTGTGTCCCGCACACCCAAGCTGTGCGCTGGGACCTGGACATAGAGCCCGTGCTTGGTTAGCTATTGTGTGGAGTTTCCTTCTCACAGGCATCTTGTGTTAGTGCGTGTGGGCCCTGGGGAGGAGCAGGGGCGGAGAATGAAACATGTTTAGTTGTGAGGGCTGTTCACACACTCAGGCGCTTGCACAGTTTCACACTCTTCTGCTCACATGCTCATGTTCACTAGCATCCAAGTTCATTCACACATGCACACACTCATGCACATGCTCACCTGCAGATGTGCTTACACACACCCTCACATGCTGATTCATATATATGCTAACTCACATGTGTACACACATACACACGTGCTCACCTGCACGCAGGATCCCACTTACATGCGCTCACATGCACACACGCTCACCCCTCCTGGGGCTGAGCCTGCAGAGGGTGAGGCTGAGAGGGAGGGGCCGGGCAGCCTGTTGTTTCAGCACTTGCTCAGCCTGAAGCAGTGAGCTGGGGTGGAAGGGTCATGCTCTGTACACGCGGAGTTTACTTCTGTGCCCTGCGCTGTTCTAGGTGGAGAACGACATCTCCGCGTTCACCTATGAGAAGACGCTGGTCATGGAGCAGAGGAGCCAGATGCTGAAGCAGATGCAGCTGTCCAAGACAGAGCGGGAGAGGGAGGTGTGTGTGGGTGATGGTGCAGGACCCCCTGCTCCTCTAGACCCCGCAGGGCTGTTGGGACCAGGTTCTTTGCGGTCAGTTTTGTGAGTGGTCGGGTGGCCTGACTCCCACCTCCACCTCCTTTCCCCATGTGGACTGAGGTCTCACACCCTCACTGGCCTCTGTGGCTCATGCCCAGGCCGATACATGGGCTATGTCACCCTGGTCTCCCACACACAGTCTACCTAGAGCTGTCCCAGACACGCACAGCCCCCTCCTCTCTTGTGTCACCTCCTGCTTGAACCACCACGGTGGCCTAACTGACCGCCTTCTGTCTCTCTCATCCTCAAATCGGCAACCACAGTGAATCCTGACGAGCCAACCCCTCCCCCAGGCTCCATGCCTGACCTCACGTAGTCCTGTTGCTGCCTGAGTAACCTTCACTCTGGCCATAGAGGCCCCTGGAGTTTCTCACTAACGCCAGCCCCTGCCCTGAGCCCACCTCATCCCCACAGGCCTCTCCCATCTCCCTCTGGCAATTTGTCCACATCTTCTCTGCACACAGGCTTCCCGGGATGCTTTGTGTAATGCCATAGCTGCCTCCCTCCACACCTGTCCCCAAACTCCATGGCACTTACTGCCCACCCCAAGGCTTGGGCTCCCTGGCAGCTCCTCTGCTGTTGAATGAATGGGTGAGGGGTGAATGAGTGAGTGGGTGAATGAAGGGAAGGATGAATGAATGGGGGGAAGAATAAGTAAATGAAAGAAAAGATGATGAGTAAAGGAATGAATGAATGGATGTAAGGAAGGATGGATGGATGAGGGGATTAATTAATGGCTGAATGAGTTGACAGATTAATTAGTGAGTGAATGGGTGGGTGAGCAGGCCCGGAGCGGAGGCAGAGTGTGGAGCAGACTTTTGGACGTGACTGTCCCTTGTGTGAGTATGGAGCCCGGGTTCTCTCCTGAAGCCCTGGGCGCTTTCAGGGCTGGGGCAGGAGGAGAGGATTTTGTCTGGACCCCAGGAGGAAGGCAGACTGGTGGGAGTAGGGCAGCACTGGGGTCCCAACTGGGAGGTCGTTTGGGGTTCCTGGGTTTCGTTGGTCATAAAATCCCCTTAGTTCTGCGGCCAGTGGCTTCTCCCTTCCATGCTCACCTCCTCCCCAGGGAGGTTTGGAGACCTGCTGTGGTGAGTCCTGTTGCTGCCCGTCTCCCACCAGGCTCAGCTAATTCATGACAGGAACACTGCATCCCACTCCGTGGTGGCCACCAGGACCCACGCCCCTTCCACGCCAGACAAGGTGCAGATGACCTGGACGAAGGAGAAGCTGATTGCCGAGAAGTTTAAGAACAAAGAGACCAACGTGTCTGGGTTCAAAGACCTCTTCAGCCTGAAACCGTGAGTGTTAACTGGTAGCCAGGGTGGCAGGTCCCAGCTCCCTTCACTGCCTGTGACAGGGCAGCAGGCACTCAGCTGCAGGCTGGGAGGCCTGGAAGGGCAGGGAACCAGCCCCAGGGCACGGGGATCTCTGAGGGCCGTTCAGCCAGGGCCCAGGCACGCGTCATTCGTGAAGCCAGGCTTGTCTGTTCCTGGTGGGTCTCACAGCAGCTAGAAGTTAGGGCTTCTGGATGGATCATAACTCCCAGCTTGGACCCTGCTGATGGTACAGGCTGCCAGGGGCCTGACCCCCTGCGTTGAGCTGAGAACCACCAGGGCTGACAGGTGCTCGTGGAGGACACGGTGTGGCTGGGTCCCAAGAAGGGGTCTAGGTTGAGTCACAGTTACACAGCCCTGGTTCCCAGGATAGAACAGAGCAGCATCTCCCTGGGGTCTTCAGCAGTGGGCTAGACCCTAGAGCCTAGGTTGTTGGAAAGGATCTGCAGGCTTTCTGGGGCTCTTGGGGTTGAGAACCCCTCGAAAAGAAGACCCAGGTAGGCCAGGAAAGGACATCCTGGGGTGAGCCTACACATGTTGAAAAGGGTTCATTGCAGTCACTGCTGAAGTAACGTGTTCTCTGTGTTTTCTCTTCCATGTAGAGAATGGGGAAACCTGTAAGTCACTCCCTTGGTTTAGGACCTCTGTTAGCCTGCTTGCTCGCATGCCTGCCCTCCCACCCCTAGTAAACCGTGCGCGCATGGCTGCGTGTGCACGTCCCCATGTGTTCATGGGTGTCCGTGTGTGCGTGTGTGTGTAGGTGGAGCTTACTTGCCACTGCGGTAGCTTTCGGTTATTTTCTGTGTATTTGCTCCTGTCCGTTCAGAGCGGCTCACGGCACGTTCCTGAGATTCATTCTCTAAATACCACGGGAGAACGGAGGTCTGGGCAGGCTGGTCCTGAGCCAGCTCCGAGCGGAAGCATGTGTCTTGGTAGCTGTTATTTGATTTATCCACATCCCTGGATCAAGGTGTTGAGATATAAAACCTCAGTTTTGCCAGGGCTGGATTTCCCTGCCCCTCACATCAGACACACTTTCACGCTGTATGAACTGCTGTCCTTTCACATCTGTGTGAAAAGGGATGTGGATGAATTCTCTGCATGGTCAGGCTGGGGCTTTGTCCCACGGCCGGGGCTCCAGGGCTCCAGGGCCAGGCTGGCCAGGTGGGAGGGAGGGCCCCTGAGGCTGCTGTTGGTCCATCTCTCTGTCCCTCCTCCTCTCTCTGCTGGGTCTGTGCCCCCCTGCCCCCCCCGTCACCCCAGGAACCTTCGGGCCGTTGTCTCCTGTGGTGGTGCAGCTTGAGGCAGAGTCCACAGCGGAACTCGGGGTACCGAGGGGCTGACCTTCCTTTGTGGATCCCTAAACCTGCGTTCATTACGTAACAGTGTTGGTCCATGGAGGGAGCAGATGTGTAGATGTATCAGGGAGACTCTGCTCGTGGGGTGTACATAGGACCACTTTCTGCTGTTTTCCTGTAAATTTAAAATCCCCCCCAAAAGTCTGTAAATTAAAAAAGACAAAAACAGGTAGGCACAGGATAGGGTTTCTCCCTAGAGCACTGCTGAACCCTGAGGTTCCTGCACCCACGCAGCACCCTGGGCTCAGGACAGGGGCTCTGTGCACCCGAATCCCCAACCCCTGCATTGAGCAAGGTCAGAGTGGACCCCTGCGGGCCTGTGGACTCAGGAAAATGAACCAGGAAGAGGGTATTTATGGGCAGAACTAAGTATACAGGTGGACCGTTCCTCTAGGGCCACACTCGTTTCTGGCCCTTTTCATGGCCAGGCAGGGAGAAGTTTCTGGAAGACAGGAAGTCAGCCCATACCTGACATGTACGTGACTGACCATGGTGTGCCCAGCACATGCGCTCTGGGTGGCGTGCCAGCCCCGAGGTCTGCTGTGCATGTCTTTTCTGTGTTTCCTAGTCTTCCGGCCAGAATCTCCGTTTTAACTCACTACCCCTGGAGTCCCCCACCCCAGCCTCGAATTCCCAGCTTTGGAAACCCTGTTGTAAAGGCTCCCCCCCATCTGGCAGACTCGCCGTATTTCTGACACATTTCCTACTTTGTAGACTCAGATCTTTTAGGTTCTGGGTACGTGAGGGCTGCCCTGTCCCTGTTGGGCCTCTCACCCCCAGCGGGGCACTTCATCCTGGAGCCATGGGCCCTTCCAGACCCAAACCCCTGGTTTTAAGATTATATGTTTTCAAACTCTTAACCCTAAGAGATCCTTTAATATCTCACACACGCATTTCTAGAAATGCTGCCTTCCCCAGCACACTGGTAATTTTGGTCTCTCCAAGCACCTAATTCATGGTGGTTGTGATGAGAGACAGAGACCCAATCTCTAATTTATCAGACGGAATTGGAGGGAGAAAATAAAGGGTCTGTGTCCGTGTTTTCCTCCTGGTAATAATTGGTGGTTATAATCAGATGTACTTGGCTTAAGGGTTGAGTTGATCAAAGGGTGCAGCCTGGGCATTTGTCCTGCAGGCCTTTTCCTGACCCCTCGTGTGCAGCCTCTGTCTGTCTGTCTGCCCACCCCTCTCGTTTCTGGACATAGTGACCTCGTAGAAGGCTGCAGGCAGACTGCCCAGGCTGGATTTCCTGAGGCTGGCCCGGACTCCCTGAGTGTGCCCCAGAATTGTTCAGCACAGAAGATGCAAATGCTTTGAGGCGGGCAGGGCTCTCGGACAGCTTCTCCTGAGTGCTCACTGGAGCACAGTTCCCCAGAGAAGGGACCCATGGCCACCTGGCTGAGGACCATAGGGCCCGTGGGTGCCTGGCCTGGGCGTGCCAGTGGCCGTGGGTCTGCAGTCTCCCTGTCTTACTTGGCCAGGACCCTGCCTTGGGGGCTGCTGCTGCACCTGGGCTGCTCAGGACACTTGGGGAAGTGTGAGCACAGTAGACACGCGGCCTCCTTTGTGGAGTGTGAGACCTGGGCAGTTAGTGAGGACTCAAGAAACGGGGTCGCTGAGCATCGGAAGCTCTTGTCCTTCGGACAGCCAAGAGCAGCAGCGTCTCGAAGGATCGAGAGCTGGTTGGACCCTCACACCGGCCACATCCTCGGCCAGGGTCTTGGGCTCTGTCACAGGACAGGCTGCAGTGGCGGTGGCTAGGTGCAGGGCCCAGCTCCTTCCCCACCACCTCTGGGCTCCTCAGACCCCGGCCTGTGCCGGCATGAGTGAGATGTTGCCATGTGCACTTGGTTTAGCGGACTCACCACAGGGCAGTGTTTAATGCAAGGTTGGTCCGCAGTGCCAGAGATTCTAACGAGAAACAGTTCAGAGCCCCTGCACCCAGACAGCAGCTCACCCCCAAAGCATCTGTTTCCGCCTGTGTGAACAACTGCTTGTAAACTAGAAGCTTGGCAGCTGTAGTGATTCTCAGTCTAAAATGTTGGGAGGCCAAAGCCCTCTGGTTGCTAAATAAATCCCCCTCCCCTGCCCTGTAATTCCCAACACGGTTCTCCTGTGGAATCGCCTCCCATGGAGCCCTCAGGGCTGCGAATCCATCTGAATCGGATTCATTTCCTCCCAGCCCTCTTCTCATGAGAGTGAAGGGGGCAGGACAGGGCTCAGACCTGGCCTGGTGCCCAGCGTTGTGGGCTGGGGTGCAGAGGGACCGTCTCCCTCTTGCAGGAACCAGTCCAACGTCAGGAGGATGCACACGGCTGTGAAGCTCAACGGCGTCATCCTGAACAAGTCCCAGGACGCCCAGCTGGTCCTGCTGAACATGCCGGGGCCCCCCAAGAACCGGCAGGGCGATGAAAACTGTATCCTTTCCTGGCGCAGCCCTTGGGGTGGGGGCAGGTGATGTGGGCTCTGGGCTCTGGGCTCTGAGCGCCACCTGGCCGGCTCCTGTCCTGGTGTTTCCCTGGGGGCCACTGGGCACCTGTGTGTGACTCCATCTCTGGGACAGACGGAGCCTGGGGAGACGGGTTTGCAGGCTCTGCCGAGGCTCAGCTGTGAGCCCTCTTGGCACCTCGCTGCCCCTTACACAGCTTTCTGCCCATCGAGCCCGTGTTCCCACATGGGCCCCTCAGTGCCTCCCAGTTGGTCTGGGTGTGCCAGGCACAGAGTGGAAGGCTGCGACCTCAGAGGTCACAGGTCAACCCTGCCCCAGACTGGTCTGTCAGACTCTAAGTGTGCATCAGCAGCCAAGCGATGCAGGGACGGGTCCTCCCACGGGCTCCAGGCGGCCAGGGCATGGCCTGGGGACCATGCAGACTTCACTGCCTGCCCTCCCCTGGGGAGAAGGGGGAGAGGTGAGCAGGAGGAGGGCTGCAGCTGCTTCTCAGGTTTGAGCTTCGCCCTGACCATAAGTGAGGAATGTGTGTCTGGGCGACCAGGAGGTCCTGGTCTCTGGGGTCTGGTGAACAGTGGATACATGTCAGGCGCATCACTCCTGGTGGGTCTGCACCTAGAGCGCGGGATGAGGGCCGGGGTCTTCTCTAGGTCCCCAGTCAGGCAGCCTCCTGTTGGGTGGGGTCAGCGCCTCCGGCTGTGTTCCTGGGACCCCTCCCCCGCCCTGCCCGCTTTCCCACCCCACCCCAGGGACCTGGGGTCTGGGTTTTCCTGATTCAGCCTTCACCCTGCTCCTCAAACTCATTCTTAAGGACACAGGTCACTCTTCACGCATTAGGCTACGTGTCCTATGGGATCAGCTGTGGCCTTAACTCGTCCACCAGATATGGAGTTCCTCGAGGTCCTGACTGAGGGCCTAAACAGGGTGCTCCTGGTCAGAGGCAGTGGCCGGGAGGTGATCACCATCTACTCCTAACGCTCGGCCACTCTGGAAGCGTGCTGGGTGGCACAGGGACAGCGCCGCGGGCACAGACCATGGCCTGACCTGCCAGCGTGGCTTCCTACAGAAGTTTCTAGAATACCATCGGGCTCTCCTGTCCAGTCTGAGAGCCAGCGCATGACTGAAGAGGTTCGCTGGAGTCTGGGGGGGTGAGATGCCCTGGTGCTCGTGGGCTCCCGAGGGAGGCTCGGAGCGCCGGGGACACAGCAGCTCCTTTCTCGAGGGCCAGGCCCCGAAGCCTCTGACTCTCGAGGGACTTGTCCTGGCTGCACCCGCCGTCTGCTGCGGCAGCCACATTTCAGTTCTTCCCCGTTCAGGACGTTCACAAGAAGCCATACTTGGACTGAAGTTGACCCTTGGCCATTCGGGTCCGTTCATGAAGGTGAAAGGTCAGCCTGTGGCTCAGGGGCACAGGTTCTTCATCAGCCCCCTGACCCTTTGGCTTTCCTTGTTGGTGTTTCCGTAACAAAGGCAGAGAAGCCAGCTGCACGCCCACCTCCCGGGGCTCAGCCGGGGGGCCTTGTTCAGGTGCCTGACTCGTCGGGATGTCTGATCCGGGAACCTGGTTGTTTGGGAACTTGAGGTGGGTTGTCCAGCTGGGTTTGTGCTCCAGGAAACTCCCAAGGGAAAGAACCCCCAGTCGAGGAGCCCTCCGAGCCCAGGTGGGTGCTGCTGGGAACGCCAGCATCTTATAAGCACTGGTGGGTCCAGCCCTGTGGGCACCTCCTTTCTGAGACCTGGAAGCGGTCAGTGCCGAGTGTTTATACCTTCAGAACTGCGAGCACACCACAGGTTTGGCATCTGACACCCACTGGCTCCTGTGACCTCCGTCCCCACCCTCCACGCCCCGGGGAGGGGCGCCGGGCTGCAGCTGTGGGAGGCCTGGGTGGGGAGGGCACGTGCACTGAGTTGTCCGGCTGAAGCCTGTGCCCCTGCACCGCACGGAGGGCATGGTGACAGCTGTGTTTAGGGCACTGACTCGGTACCTTTTAGTGATCCGTAGACTTTGCACTTTACCTTGTGGTCTTTCTGCTTCTGGTCATGATCACATTCACTGTAGATGCTGCAGTGATCTGTGCCTCACTTTCTGTGTGGCTTATTTATTTGTTTAAACACCTGGATGTTTCAGTGCTAATTAAATTGTCCACAAAGAGGTTGTATCTGAAAGAGGCCCAGAGGACCATGGCCGTAGAGTTAGTTCTCAGGCGTCCATGGTTTCCCAAGAGAATTGGCCTGGGTCAAGAGTTTCATGATGGGGCGAAGACTAAGTGTGCATTTCCGGATGTTTCTGAGGAGCCATCGGGCAGCCTAGAGGGCCAGCATTGCCATCAGAGTGGCGACTGGCCAAAGTGTGTGCCAAATAGCCGCAACCAGTGAGGGGTTGGGGTCCCGATTTTTGACCGTCCTGGTTCAGCATGGGGTTAAGTGAAACCCGTCTCACTCACCTGTGCTGAGGGTCCACGTGTCTGTGCCCCGTCCGCCTGTCCAGGGTCTCTGAGCACCACGCAGCCTCACCACACTTTGTATAACTAACTGCAGCAAGTTCAAGTGGATTTTGTTTTCCTTTTACAGGTTCCTTGTCTTTGTATGATTTTTGTTAGTAGAAGAATAAAATTGAATAAAATCTATGTTGAAGCGTCTCATATGTCTCATTCAACATAAAAATTAGACAATTGCAGAAAATTCCCCCATGCCTCCCTTCTTTTGGAAGAGTTTGCTGAAATGAGTCAATCTGTAATTTCTAACAGGATAGACCCAGCAAATAAAACCTGTGGTTTGAGGGACACCTATTCTAACAGAGGCTCACAGTGAGACCACGTCACACCCCCCAGGATGGAGGTGAATCGAGGGGACGGAAATGGCAATGTGTGCAGGTGGGGTTGCTGTACAAACTGTTAAGGCTCCTAAAATTGTCAGAGTTGCCGTGTGACCCAGCAGTCCCGCTCCGGGTGTATAGCCCAGAGAAATGTGCACACGTTCATAGTAGCAGTAGGCACACCAGCCAAAACGTGGCAACAGCCCAAAGACCCATCCGTTGATAAGTTACTAAACAAAATGTCAACATTCAGTGGAACCTAATTCAGCTGTTAAAAGGAATGGTGGTCCAGTGTGCTACCACATGGATGAGCTCCGTGAAAGTGGCCAGCCACAGGTTGCGTGTGATTCCACTTAGATGAACTCGGAACAGTGGAATCCAGACAGAGTGAGTTGGTGAGCGAACGGGCTGGGGTGGGGAAGAGGGAGTGCGCAGGGGCTTTCTGCTGAGGTGACGATGTTTGAAGTGTGTATGGTGAAGTCTGCAGTCTGAATGTGTGAGAAGACTGGATGCTGCGCAGTGAACAGGTGTATGGAGCTATTAACGTCCTCCTGGGGACCTTGGGGTGGTGACACCGGGCTGCTGGGAGTGACCTAGAGTGCTGAGCTATCCTTAGTCTCTGCTAAAGACGTTCACATCCATGACCTGCAGCACGGGCCCGGCCTTCAGGGCAGGGGTGAGGGTGTCACAAGGGATTGGAAGGACCATGCTCCACAGGGGGCCGGCAGAAACTCAGAAGACTTGGGAGGGTCCCAGGATCCTGACTTGCCACACACTCGTGGGCACCCACGCAGTGGGTTCTGTGGTGGAGCCAGTTTGGGCATTGTGGTCAGCGCAGCAGTGTCCTCTGGGCCTCAGACTCAACATGGCAACTTTGCCACTGGAAAGGGGTGCAGATGCAAGAGACACCAGAGCCCCAACATGGTGTGAAAGACAAACTCAAACTGCCGAGACAACTACTGACGTGTGTCGGCCACAGCCCACAGTGCCTCCTGAGTCTTCCACTGCGTTCGGCCCGGTGGGCAGGCATCCTCCATGCTGGATGGGCCGCCAGGACCTGGCCCAACCAGGTATGTGTCTGTCTGTCACCCTTTGAAGGGGCCCCTTCCACCCTGGGGGCTGCTTTCCCCGAGGCAGCCCAGCCTGGTGCGTGGACCCTGGGCACTGTGTCTCTGGGCCCCACTCAGTGCCACCCGCCCCCACTTGCACACGCAGGCCCCTGGGCCCGGCCAGGCCAGCACAGCCTGCCCACCCTGGCTTCGAGCCTTGCAGCCCAGCGTTGCTGGGGTCTCTCGGTTACAACTTCCCCCAAAGCCCTGTTCACCAGGACCTCGTCCGGCGCTCAGGAGACCAGAGGGCAGCTCTGGCTGATCTGTCTGTCCCTTGGCTCTTCTGCAGTGGTCTCATCCCGAGTGAGAGGTGAATAAATATCTGGGGGCCAAAAGGTCTCCGGACAGTGCTCACATCTGCCCCCGAGAGCGTGACTGCTGTGGAGAAAGGGGCCAAACGGACACCGGCCCACTGAATCCCAGCGCCGTTATCTGTGAAATGTCCCTGAAGTACCATCTTGGCGCTGTCGGTCCAGAAACGAACGGTTAATATGTGGGGACGTCTGCGCGAGCTATTATTCACCTGCCAGGTGCTGTCTTTCTCTCTTCATTGTGGATGTCACAAAGCGCACCCACCCTCATGAGGAGGCGAGGTGTGTGACCCTGCCCGCCAGAGGTCGCTACTGCCTGCAGGAACTGGTGGGATAGGCCCGCGGGCGGGGCCAGGCGCGGTCATTTCCGTCTGGACAATGGTATCCTTCTCTGCTGCACGGACTCACAAGCAGCAACACACTCAGCTTCCGGTGTGTTTGCTGGCGTTTCACTGCACTTACACATTGTTTTTAAAACGAGACGCGGTGGTCAGGCCCACCCAACTTCCCTGTCAGCTGGTCAGCGAGCACCTGCCTGCAGGCTGTGCAGGGCTGCAGGGGTCTGCTGGGATTAACAAATAAGGTCCCCGCGTGTAGGACCAGGTGCAACAGCTCAGCACGCTAAGGAATGGACCCAGGCCAGGACAACAGGCATTTTTGTAAAAACCTCGATGCCAGTGTTGTGGGTGTCACTGTGCAGGATTCACGTGTGTGAATGGAGTGTAGACGTGTCCCCACAAGAGGGCACTCTGCTCTGGGGCAGGCAGGCACCAGCTGGGGTCTCATGATCTGAAATACCTGGAAAACTGAGATTCAAGTACTCTGGCCTTGGAAGATCCTGGGAACCCCAGTTCTCCCTCCACATGTGGCCTCAGCTCACAGACACCAGTTACTCAGAAATTCAGAGGGTTTTGGATGTGGAGGGTGATAAACCACAGAACTTATATGCATGTATGTGTGACCAATGGACATGGACAACAAAGCTGGGGGTGGGGGGGTGTCAATAGGGGGAAAAGGAGAAACATCTGTAACAAAAACAAATAAAGAAATAAAATAATAATAATTAAAAAAAAAAACAATTCCAAGGGCTTTACGTTACAATGGCCATGAACAGGGATGTGATGGTGAAAGGGAGGAGACAGTGGCAGATGACTCATCAGCTTCTCCAGGGTCTCATCAAGGAGAGCCCAGGGGCTCCATGTAAACCTTGGTCCATGTGGCCCAACAGTGTCCTGAAGTCTCCCGTTATCACAAACCCAATTAGGGGCTTGGATTTTTGTTTGTTTGTTTTTTAGAGCAGTAGAGTGGGGGGAAAAACATTACCCATAAATCTGGAGTTGTGTATTAATTTTCTTTCTACGAACGTCTGTATAAACAGAGACTGACACACTCCTGGGCAGCCTGATCCCCCACAGGCCAGTGCAGGTGGACTGACTATATTTATTTTAAAAAACTCATTTAAAAACAGGGAATGACATATTAGAAAATGCACACTTTTATTATTCCTGGGGGGGAGGGGGACCCTCAATTACAAGTCAATCCAATTTGCGTGATTCTTAAAAACAGTTCCACGAAGGTGAATGCAAAATCACCTGCACAAACTCTCAGGTTGCCAGCGAGTCCACTTGCTCGTCTCGGAGGGAAGGAGCAGCAGTGTCCTGCCACAGGGGGCGCTGCCAGCCAAGGTTCATGACCCTCAGACACCATCACGGCCCCACCTCCCGCCCTCTTTCCACAAGTGGGCATCACGGAAGCTGTGCACAGGCACTCGGTGGTGAGCCCAGAAGACAAGCATCCCAGCTCCTATTCAGCAGACTGTGCTCGTTTTAGGTGGACCCTACCACCTCCCTTGGCCTTGCTGTCCACATCTGTGTCCACTTAAGATGTTGGTGCTGGCCCCACCCCACCTGTGCCCTCCTCTTTGCTCGTATGCCTCCCGAATGTTTTGATCACTGAGGAGCACCTCATGCCTCCCTTGTGGCTGCCCTTCTTCCATTATGACCTGTGCTCGGCGTGATGAAGCAGAACTCACCGCTGCACACACAGCGTACTGAGGAAGCTGCTCCCCAAAACCACCCCCTTCGGCCTTCGGAATGAATAATTACATGAGGGCTGCAACGCTGTACGTTCTTCCTCCCAGCTAGGTGGCAGCCAGGCCTCAGCACCCTGCACGTCTCAGTCCAAGGCACCCGACGCGTGAGGCACCGTGAGAAAAACGCAGAGGTCATCGGAGCAGAGTCCCTTCTGCGCCACAAGGGCTTGCTTTGGAATCGTAAATGAAAGATACAGTTGTGCTTTTCTATGCTTACATATGGTTTTATGGGTTACACAGAATCACTTCATAACTGGGAAACAGCAGTGGCATCAAACGTGTTCCTCTCAACGTGACATCCGCCAAGAGCACAGAGGAAAGGAGAGCGGAGGAACAGCGAAGGGCCTGCTCCACGACTGTCCACCTGGCGCCACCTCCGCTGCCCACACCGAGACCTGGAGCTGGTCGGGGCCGGGGGCGGCGGGGCCGGGGCGTGCATGCTAGGACGGGTGATGGTGGTGGTAGTGGTGGTGGTGGTGGTGTTCGTGGTGGTGGTGGTGCTCGTGGCGCTGGACCACGGGCACTGAGTAGCCCTCCCCCACCAGCATGGGCGGCAGGTCCCGCACCACCTCATGCTCCATTACCGCAGGCTGGCCCAGCACCGCCTTGAGTGGTGAGTGGCCCTCCCTACCCTTCTGCCGATACCGCTTGTGGCCGTAGGGTTGTGGTGGGGGCTGCGGTGGGGGCTGTGGGAGGTGGTGGCCATCCTGGGGGGGCTGGGGCAAGGCAGCTGGAGGGTGGTAGCTGAAGGCCCTCCCGGGCTTGCCCCCACCAGGCATGCCCCCAATGGGCATGCCCCCAGTGGGCACCCCAGGAGGCCTGCCCGAGCCCTTGGGGGACTTGAGGAACTGCTTGTCCTGCCCCTTCAGCCGGGGCTGCAGGTCCAGGGCCCGGGCAGTGGGCTCTCCGGCCAGCAGCACTTGGTCAGCCAGCACCTGGGACCTGCGGTTGTGCACAGTGTGTGCATCTGACTCCTGGGAACGAGACCTGCTCGGGGGGTGCGAGGCCTTGCCCTGGTGCTCCTGCTTGGCCTGTGCCGGCGGGGACCCTGCACGCATGGGACACAGACCATGAGACCCCCTGCAGGGCCCGGACGCCACACCTTGGACCTGGCACCCCCACACACTGGATGCAATGCTGCAGCGCGGTTGCTGTGGGAACCCGAGAGCCCTCAGGCGAGGGCTCATGCCCCTAAGGGAGGCATCCACACCCGGGGGTCTCCTATCCACAGGACTGGTGTCTAGTACCTACCAGGTCCGAATTTAGACGTGTAGTTCTCTATTCCAGCCAGGTCCAGGTAGTGGTTTCTCCGCTCAGTGTTCTCATCCACGCAGTACAGCCCCCTCACGGGGCAGGGGTGGGGGTCCGCATAGGGCCTCCTGTGTGGGGCACAGGGCAGAAGGGGACTGACCTTTGCACAAGGCCAGAGCAGACATTCCTCGGAGATGAAGAGGGCACTGGAGCAGATGGTCTTGGGCAGTGGGCTCCGACCAGCACCCACTTCCCAGAGAGGAGCATCAGAAAGGACAGCAAGGTCCTCAGCCAGCCCAGGACCTCATCAAGACCTCAGGGTCACTGCTGCAAATTGCCTTAGGGAACCTGCAGGAACTCCCACCTTCTGGTCCACCTCGGACACCCAGTTGGGCCCCGAGGCAGAGAGCAGGTCACTGCTCTGAGACCTCCACTGTCCCTGTCACCACCACAGCCAGTGAGTAGAACCACCGTGCGCCAGAGTGTGCCAGACTGAGGGTCTCTAGGCTGACCTGCCCTTCAAGCCTCACCCATCTCTCAGACAGATGCTGGGTGTGCTCAGCGCCAGCCGGAGTGCCGGCCCACAAGCCAGCACCGTCACCCCGACGGGAGGCTGTACCCAGGGCTCCTCCGCACCCAGGTGCTCGTCCTGGCCGTCTGCCCTGAGGGGGCAGTCCCCGAGGGCTGCAGGAAGCAGGGGTGAGCGCCGTCTGCTCCCACTTGAGGAGGGTACACCTGGAGGGCAGAGCCAGACCCCAGCCCCTCACCTGATGTGAGCAGAGAGCCTCCTGTCGGCCACCCTGGGGTCCTCGGAGATCTCACCCTCTGTCCTGCAGCGAGTGGGTTCCCGGTCTGAAAGAGTGAATTCACTCATGCATTTGTTCACTCATTCATTGACTAAGCAAACACTTCTGGGCCCCTGCCAGGTGCCAGGCCCTGCTTTCAATGTTCAGGAAACCACAGAGATTTTGTCCCGGTGGAGAGGAGCGGGGGGAATGGGGTGCTGAACAGTAGACACGGTTAACAGTAACCCCATAGCCCGGTGCGTGGGAGAAGGGCTATGGAGAATGCACAGTAAGGTGGGGGGCCAAGAGGGTGTCTGCAGGGAGGGGGTGGGCTGCCATTTAAAGCAGGGTCTCAGGGCATGTGAGCGGGGGGCCCGACCCCTCACCCTGGCTGGTAGAGAGACCCTCCCTCCTTTTGCTGGAGGGCTCAGGGCTGACGGTCAGCTTCACACGGAGGGTCTTACTGCTGCCAGAGGAATGGTTGACTGAGGCATCGACGACCTCGTAGATGGTGTGCATCAGACTGGACATGTCCTAAAGATGGCACCGATGTCATTGACACAGGCAGACTGGGCTGGGGAACTGCCCCCCCCCCCCCACGCCACCACCTCCAGGCTACCTGCCTGTTTGAGTCACTCTGCATCCCACACAGACAGTGCTGAGCAGCCGTCCTCACCCCAAATCTAGCCCGCGCAGCCCCAGACAGTCGCGTAATAGCCCTGTTGTTGGAAGCCCGTCCCCTGGACCTTTCAAATTTCACACTGAATCTATGTTCAAAGGACTTAGCAGTCAGACAACTACGAAAGTTTTGCTCTTCAACCCAAAGACACTTATTTCTGTCATCCTACAAGTCTGCTTCCTTTCGAGGGGCACTCTGCCCATCCTGGACACACAGGCCAGTGGAGGTGAGGGCAGGGGGCACTCAAGGGATCCTCACCTCCTTGCCCAGCAGCCCCACTGGGCCTCGGGATCCAGAAACAGGCCCTGCAGGGCTCTGCTGGAAACAGTGCTGACAGCCTGAGGCCACAAGACTCCCTAGACTCCATTGGTCGCCTGAGTCCACCATCCCCACCCCTATGCCTGGGAAAGGGTCAGCTTCTCCTCCCACCCTAGAGGGCACAGCCTGTCTCCCTATCACAGAGACCAGAGGCAGTGGCATCTGGTACCTGCCAGCCCCCTGCCCTGTGGACCACCTTCCGAAGACAAAAATGCATCACCTCCCTGGTGGCCTTCCCACTGTTGTCAAAGCCGTAGAGCGTGAAGGTCCACTCCTGGCGGTTGTCCTCCTCCACCGAGACGTCGCATTGGAGCGCCTGCAGGCCACATGGGGACAGAGGCAGGTGGGGTTGTCACCCTGCAGTGGGACCCGAGCCTCCCCCATCTCTCGGGAAAACAGGTCCCCTTCCATTGCTCCCTCCAGCTCCTGCCCTGGGGGGGCCAGAAGACAATGGAGGGCCGGAGTGTCATCCCTGTGTGCTGGCACCACACCTGGGGAAGCCCCCCACAGTGTCAGGTGCCACATCTGCCAGTTTCAGCCAGGTTTGTGGCGATACCTTCCTTGCCACGCGCCCCTCCCAGTGCGAGCTTTGCGATAACTCCCTCTGCTGGCTGAGCCTCAGGCAAACTGTCCAGGAAAAACCCTGCTGTGGGCTGCTGTGTGCGTGCCCTTCCCCGCCGCGGGCCCTCTCGCACCGTGAGGGGGAGCAAAGACCTACGTCAATGTTCAGGCGCTTCTTGCTCTGGCCTCGTGGGCCCTCGCGGCTTGCTGCTCTTTCAACATCTTCTGCAGTGAAGAGCTGTCCGGTACCCTCTCGACCCTCAGCCTTCTCAAGGGGGAGGGCCACTGGAGGGAGAAAACGGGGTGAGGAGAGCCGTTTCCCCTCGATCCAGCCCAAGCAGGTGACTCAGGACAGCAGGGTGTGGGGAGGCGCTGTGAAGAGCCTGTGGTCCTTTCCGGATGTGCCTGAGCTGAGAGCCCCTCCTTCCAGAGCAAGGAGGCAGCAAGAGACCTGCGCAGGGGCAGGGCAGCCCTCCTGGGTCAGCCATGGGCAGGTGTGTCCTCTGGCTCTGCCCCAGCCAGACAGCAGTGGCTCCCGGAGACCAAGGCGGGGAGGGAGCTGCCCTGGGTGGGTCTGGGTTTGGTGGAGAAGTTAAGAAGCATGAAGTGTGGGTGGTCTACATCATCAGGGCCTCCACTTGTCCAGGTGTCCTGAGGGCAAGTTTTGGACATATGCCTGGGGGACAGGGTAGTCTGTGAGGCTTAGGGAGCAGGGCTTACCCTCTAGAGGACACTGGTCCTCCCGGAAAGGTCCCTCCTTGGGGTCCCCACTGAGAAGTTCCTGCAGAGAGAACAGGGAACACATGCTCAGCGGGGCAAGTCATGGACGACACCACGTTTGGGTTGTCACTGCGGAGACACCAACCTGTGCACACCGCACTAAGCCTCAGATTTTACAAAGTGAAGCACACACACATTCCACAGTGCCGTTGGTTCCATCAGAACCATCTCCAGGACAAGATGCAGACACAAGGACTGGAAGAGCACCGCCCCGTCACTGCCCCAAGAGCCCAACTGGCCGACTCCCTGCTGTGGGGAAGGCGCCTCCCCCAGGGCAGCCAGGTGAGGCTGAGGGGCCAGCTCAGAGAAGCCCCTTAGCCTCCAGAGCTAATCCCAAAATCAGCCATGGAAAAATGGGAGACTTCCAACAGAAACTCTACAGAACAATAGCTCACGTGGTCCTTGTGAAGAGCCCAGGAGAGTAAAGAACACGAGGAAAGGACACATGAACAGGGTGGTCAGGGAAGCACCTGAACCAGAGGACCCTGCCTGGCAGAGACACATGCCTGCACCGGCCACCCGCCCCAGGGACAGCAGCACTTTGCAGGGGCTCTTGGGCAGGCAGAGTGTCGAGGGCTCTGCAGACGATGGAAGGACAGGTGTCTGTGTATGGACATGAACCCCCAAGGCTACTTGGCAGGGCAGCCCTTCAGCCCCACAGCCTCATCATTCCTCCCGAAGGAGCCACGTGTCACTGGAGGCCCCTCATCTCTCCCTTGGCTACGGGCCTGGAATCCAATGTGAAAGGGGGCCCATCGGGGTCACCCCTGGTGCTCAGCAGTCCTGGTCAGGGTCCTGGCAGGGGATGGTGGAAGGTTCCAGGTGGACTTGCTGCCATCCTCAGGATACGGGTAGTGGGAGGGCACCAGGCCTAACATCATCTCCAAGGTGTGAGGGTTGTGGGTCAAACAGCTTTATACCACCAGCTCTCCTGTTGTTGTGCAGATGGACTGGGAGTTAGAAGCAATTTATCTAAGAGGTCAAGTCTGCAAACAGTCATCCCAAGGGGGCTCAGTGGGTGAGGGTGCCTCAGGCCCAGCTGAGGGGAGACAGACAGGGCAATGCTTGGGCATGGGAGCAACCTCTTCCCCTTTCCATGTTTCAACAAAAGCATCAGTACCCCATGGTTGGCCTGGTGGCATCTGTACGCTGACCACTGACCACAGGAGCCTCTATTGGTCCGAGATGGCCCAAGGCACCCAGTCACTGGAAGAAACAAGAGGTGGTTCTGGTTCCACCTCTGTAGCTCTGGCCACATGGCCACTATGGCTGTCACATGCTTTCAGGCCCCCATCCCAGGTACCTCTGAGTGACCTCAGGGGCAGCCCATGTCTATTGGCTGTATGAAAAAAGACACCCGCCTTCCTCTGATAAAGAGCACACAATGTGTTTAAAAAGGCACAGTGTCGCCCAGCTGGTGTGGCTCAGTGGTTGAGCGTTGACCCATGCACCAAGAGGTTGCCGGTTCGATTCCCGTTCAGGGCACATGCCCAGGTTGTGGGCCCAATCCCCAGTGGGGGGCATGCAGGAGGCGGCCAGTCGATGTTCTCTCTCATCAATGTTTCTCTCTCCCTCTTCCTTCCTCTCTAAAATCAATAAAAAATAAAAAAATAAATAATCAATAAAAACATATATATATATATATATATATATATATGCACAGTGTCTCTGGCTTATCCTTTTTGAGAGGCTCAATGGCAGACAAAACAAAACCCTAAACATTTTTACCCAAATGTACAAAGTGATTCTTTCTCAGGAGTCATTGAAAAGGAACATAAGCCCTGGCCGGTTTGGCTCAGCGGTTAGAGCGTCGGCCTGCGGTCTAGAGAGACCCAGGTTTGGTTCCCGCTAAGGGCACGTACCTCGGTTGCAGTTTGTCCCCGGCCCTGGTCGGTTGTGCGGGTGGCAGCCACTCGATGTGTCCCTTTCACATCGATGTTTCTCTCTCTCTCTGTTCCTCTCTCTCCCCCCCACTCTACCTGAACAAAAAATGGAAAAATGTCCTCGGGTGAGGATGAAAAAAGAAAAAAAAAAGAAAAGGAACATAAAAGGCCCTAAACACCGGGTGCACAGAACTGAGCAGATCCGCAACTCTGGGCGCTCACTCTCTGGGTTTGGTGAGGGCAAGCCTGAACATGCTCTGTGTGGACAATGGAACCCCGACAGGCCTCAGGGTCTCCCGAGGACCTCCTGGAAGTACAGTAGGGCTGACCCGAGGGATGGAGCACCAGCCTCTTTGGGGGTCTTGGAAGATCCCCTCATGCACAAATGAGTCCGTGAGAGGGCGAGCTCTGGAGTGGGCAGAGGAGGCAGCAGACCATGCACAGGAAGGGAAGCCTTCCCGGGGCTTCAACAGGGCCGGGGGCACCACCACAGGGCACCCAGGGCAGTTCAGAAATCACTGCTGCTGAGACTGCGTCTTGAGGGAGATGCAAAGTTGCAGGTGCATGACCTGCGCCCAGGAGGGGCTCTGGATGGGCAGGGAGAAGAAAGACTCCTGCTTTCTGCCCCAGCGTCTTCCTCTCTCCTCATCCCCAGATCCCTCTGTCATACCTTCAGAATGAGGCTACTTCCAAGTTCATTTTTAGGATGCCAGTTGGAGAATATGTTTGAGCTTGTTTTCATAAGAAATAACACCTAATTATTAAAATACACTATTTCCCTTCCTTCTTGTACAGCCTGCTGACATCTGAAGAACTTGGTTTGGCCACAGTGCTGGGGCTCACCAGGGTCCTAAGGATGCCTTTCGTGCTCAGGCACCAAGCAGCGCAGGGTTCTTGAGACCTCCGAGGACATTCCTCACCTGTGGGCAGCTGAGCGCTACCCAGACGAATATTAAGCTAAAGCCCAATCACTTCTAAAAACCAGATTTTTGGTTAAATTTTTTTTCCTATAAAATTAAAAAAAGCCATGAAGCTGAGGTCCCAGGCATTTGGGGGGAGCAGGGACAGTGCGCAGACTTCCTGGATGTGGGGAAGAAACAGGGTGTCAAAGGTCTAAGGTCAGCAGCAACAGAAACCATCCCCCAGGTATCCAGCCAGGCTAGCAGTCAGAGTGCTCTAGAATCCTGCATGATTCTAGATGATTCCACCTTGATCTGAGCACACTATCCTCTCGTTATAATCACAGAAGTAAAATAAGTGGTAACAGTGTCTCCTCCGAATAGGAAGATCTGAGACCGAGTGCGCACAGCACTTCTTGTTGAAAGAGCTAAAGTTGCTCCGTGAAACCACTGGAGCCCCCAGACCCACTTCCAGGAAAGTGCCAGAACCCAGAAAAGCCAGTGGTGTGGCTCCTGTGGGACAGACAGACAGTGAGGGCAGGCGAGAGCAGACCCGCGGTCGTCTCCTGTGGCGCTCCCAGCTGTGCAATAACGACACAGTAACGAAGCATGGATACAATAGTCAGCAGTGCATACCACAGCCAGGGACAGGGAACAGGAACGCTACAACAGCCAGCCTGTGACAGTGCCCTAAAGTGCCTGGAAGTTCCTTTTGAAAAATGTTCATCCACATGCTAGAATCTACAGTGTTTATCTACGAGCTAAATCATCAGCTACCTCTGAGATGCAGAGGCTCAAATAACAGGAAACAAACATTTGGGAGAAAAGGAACAATTCTTGTCCCTGTGACTAGTGGTTTCAGTCAAATCCATCCTGGTTCCATAAAAATGCCCTTTAATCTGTGCTGCTTTGGCTAAACAGAAGGGCCAAAAGCTTTAATTGCAACAGATAAACCTACCACGGGGATGCTGGCCAGATGTGCAGCCCCTCCCCACTGGGGTGACCTCCCAGGCAGCTGAATCCCAGATAATTGGGGCCCTCAAGCGAGAGGGGGTGCAAGCAGACACCCCATCTCCTAAAGTCCAGCAAGTGTCGACCTCCCACAGAGCCCTGCCCCCTCCTGGGATGCCCCTCACCCACCTTCCCTGATCTGAGCACCCTATGGAGGAGACCCCAATCCTGAAGCATCAGTTTCTGCTCTCACTCCCTTTGCCACCCCCACAGGAGTCCCAGCCTCATGCCTACAAAAGTCCCCAATTCTGTCTTTTACCCCCATCTGGCCCCATCTTCTGCCTGGCCAGGTTTCCGTAGAGGGTCCTCAGCACTGTCCTTACTCTCCTGGCTGACAGAGCCCTGTTCCTGCCATCCCCTCCCATCCCTGGGGCTCCTTGGAGGCTCCACCCACCCAGCATTGCAGACCTTCTGCTGATCCCCTCAGGCACACTCTCCTCACTTGCTGCTCCCCCCTCCCCCCTCCAGCGCCCTGGTGCATTGTCCAGCATCTGCTGACTACTGGGGACAGGATCTCAGCCCCACACACAGTGCTTTATGAGCACCCAGGTCCTTATTTTGCATATCAATGTTAGGTGGCTGTGACCTTTGCTGCAGGGTCCCCAAGGCCTGATCCCTACCCCTCTCACCCTGCAGGGGCTCTCAGGAGAGACCACCCAGCTGTCCCAAGGTACCGCCACATCTCCTGCCCAACTCTGTTCTGAGCTCAGGCAGTCTACTCCACAAGCCACAGCGTAAGACTCAGCTTCTTGTCCTCCCCAGCAGCAGCCCTGTCCTGGATGGGTCCTAGTGAAAGGCCAGGACTGCCCACCTGCTCAGGTGAGACCGTGAGATGTTTCCCACAGATGTCCATGGGTGCAGGGTGCTGGGAGATTCACCCAAAATCTCGGTTCTAGGCCTCCCTTGAAAGGCCAGAAGGTCCAACCACACCTTCCTATGGCACAGCACTAGGTAGAGCCAGCAGCCATGCCAGAGTCCTCACCCCCATCCACCAGAACTGTGGTGACATGGGCTGTCCACCGCAGGTGCCTAGTCTGGAGATCTCATACACCTGGCTGAGGGAGAGACAGGAGACAGGCTCCTAGTTAAGGCAGCGAAGGTGAGAAAATGAGAAACCTTTTGTGATGCCCACAACCACATCCTGAGTGTCTCTGCTTCTCAGATTTCAGTGCTCACATATTCCTTCAAAACCTGGAGCATCTGGGATC